GCGAGAATTCTGCACTGGTCTCATTAGTCCCATATCATTTCGAATGCTTTACTATATCTATTACCGTTTTGATGGTCAGAGAAAAGAAATTTTATAAATCTTACCCAAAGTTGCGAAGCAAAATGGTTATTATAAACAGATAACTTGCTTCTCCAGTCACTCTGATATCGGTAAAGGCAGCAGGACGCGCTTCAACCTCCTCAAATCTTTCCACCACCTCCACATATGGACGCTTTTAAATAAGTAAATGACTAATATTGCGATTTTTAAGCAAGCGAATCGCTTTTGAAGCATTACATATCTACCGGTGCCATCAGGGTTAGCAGCTGCGTAATTTTAAGGGAAAACCTGTCTCTTTTTGGTTAAAGTACCACTAATGTATCATATCGCCTTGGTGTGACATTTGTATCATTTGCAGTGACTTGCGCATTAAGTCAATTGGTGACCAAAAAAGTAACAATTGAGGTGTAACTTCTTATTTTCCTTGTATGAGATTAAAACACTTCTAAAAATCCTAAATTTTAATTGTAAATTTGAACTTATTGCCCCAAATTATGGGTGATGAAGTCTGATATTGGGTTTCCTTGATGCTTAACCCTGATTGGCTAATTTTAAGCGTTATCCAATCAGTTGCTCCGGTGAACCGCAGCCAGTCAGAATAAAGGAGAGAGCACAAATAAATTTATGGAGTTTACCATTTTAAATGAGTGCATAACAAATGATTAACTACCTATATTTAATATACGTAAAACTACTCACTAATAAAAGGAGCACTAAACGCCAAATTCGACTACTTTGTTTCAAAACGCTGGAAGCTTGAAATTCATTTTCCTACTACCATAAATTAGGCTGTGAAATAAGTGTTTTGCTCGCCTACACTGTATATCTCTGTAGTCCGGTGATGAGACATTGCCGTTCTTGTAGTAAATGCAGAATCTGGAACTGAGGTGCGTACCATTCGCTGGAGTTCGCAACCTTACAGGTTGAAGGTGATTCATTCCATTCACTTGGGCCTTGCAGGAAAGGGTCGTTTTGATGCAAATCTCTTTTAACCAAGTGGATTAGAACCATAAATCACTAAAAGATTGAAGGGAATCAACCATGCAGGCAAGTCACTGGCGTGGTAGTGGAGCGCTGTCAGACGCAGCAATCTATGGTAATCCTGCGTTTTGATTGACATATGGATATATGAAATGGTAGATAACCAAGGGTAGAGGCTAATCCTCCTGGCTGTCGGATCCCAGGTCATCACATCCTCATCTCCACTTGACATTGACAGGTGATCAAGTATTGCCTGTATTGGAATTCATTTGAATGCAGCGGAATCTCGTGAGTCGACTAAAAATAGGCAGCAAATGCTTATTCTGAAGGCATCCTTCTCATTCTAAGGTAATATAAAAATCTGGGACGTTTTCAATTATCTTTACAGAGACCTATCAGAGACTGTCATATCTTTTTTCTCTTCTTTTAATGTCCTTCCTTTTCCATAACGACTTTTTCCAAGTTCGATTGATTTTGCCTCCGGTGAAGCCATAAGTCTAATTAGTTCCATTTTGTGCAGAAAAAGTATCATCTTCGCTCCTCTCGTCTTCTCTTTCTTTCCCTTCTTTAGCCTTCCCCTCTTCTTTGCCTCCCAAAACCTCCATGGGGAAAAGTTTTTTGGTGAATAGCCAGAAAAAAATTTGTCGACACCCATTACAAAAAGAAGTTAAAAAGTGCGAACCATTGAACCTAACAGTGTGACCATTTTTAGAGTGAAAAAGAAGGAAGAGAGCACAAATATGGCTATATTTGGGTCTTCTGAAAGGCCTGACATTGCCTTGTCAGGGCGCAGCCTAAATTTAACTCACGGGACATTCCCGAGCCAAAACAAATGAATAGAGGAAAAATGGATTGCCTGTCACTTTACAACGCCTCTTTATTCTTCTCACTTTGCTTACCCAAGCATCCTTCTTTTTAGGGAGGGAGGTGATTAACAAAAGCAACTTTTGTTGGCCGATTTTTGTTCAAAACGAAGTGTTATTTTTCCCTTCAGTAGCTGTTTTGAGTGACTTTTGTGAGACTCGACTTAGTAGTCACCCATTTTTGGGTAGGCAAATATTTTTCTCTGCAAAAAATGTTTCATTTCCCGGAAACACGAAATCGGTTAGAAGGGATGAGAGACCTTTCAAGAGGTTTTTTATCCTCTTTAATTCACTCTGCAAAGTATGTCTGTACAATATAACTTGTTTGGTTTTGGATTTTAAATAGCTGATACGGACCCCAGGCTTGTTAACTTGTTATTGTCATATTTTGTTAAAATTATTTCAAATGTGAGCGCATCTTTCTCAGTTCTGATTGGTTTTGAGCTATCCAAAGAATTGATTGGTTGGTTCTGCTTTAAACTTGGGCAATCAGAGCTAAGGGCTGCAATGGGCTCGATAGCTTTATCAATGTTGAGGTGGGTTTTATCAGATCAAAAAGAATACACGCATAAATGTTTTCAATTATTAAAACCTACTTGCTACACATCTTTGCTGAGGTTGTAGCACCTGAGGTCATCACAGTAAACGCAATATTACCCAGGCTTCGTGAACTTTGACACTCTCCTAATTGACCTCAATGGTCAAATGATCAAAGACGTATTTAAAGGGGTTGCATACTAAATCCACGTATGTGCCAGCTGAAAACGTGAATGCGTACCCCAAATCATAACTTTAAAGCAAATGAAAACCTGATGTGAAAGAAAAGGGATATATGAACTGACGAATTATGTACTATTGGAGGAAAAATATAAGGTGAATAAGCTTTTCCATTTTGCAAGGTTCATGCTTATCTTAGGCTGACCGGATAAGAAATCTCTTGTAACGGCCTTCTAGGATGCATTTCTTCATCCACTCCTAAAGAAGCGTTAACGCTCTGTCGGATCTCTTAAAAGAGTTTTGCATCACTTTTTGACACAAACGCTTTTGCAACAAATTAAATATTTTGAATGGTGGAGGCACAATGTATTGCTTCCTTTTATCATCAGTGCTAATTTCCTTCTAAATCCTGAGGTATGGGGCACCCGAGGTGCCTTCTTTTTCCACTTACCTAAAGTAACGCACATTCATGTTTCTCCACCGTGTTTTGAATGACATGAGAAGATCTGCTGAATGTGATAAAGGAATTGGCAGTCACTCTGACTAATCGTGATGCTTTCACCCTCTGCGCATAGATAATCCACTTATCTTGTCTGTCAGTTTCGAATTTGCTGAAACACAAACAATCTCTTTGTTTGTCACCAACCAATATTTGCTATACTGCTGTTACTCATTAAAGGGAATGGAAACGTAGGTGCGTCGGATCCTCTACAGAATTTTCCCATAGACGCCAGATACACCTTGACTGGCAGGGTTGAGTGGTCAAAAGGCTATCTTCTGACTCGAACCTTTGCTAATGATAGCGACGAATATTCTAGCAAACATTTCAGGATACTGTGGAAAGTATTTTTTGCCTCCTGTTAAAAACGGACTTTGTTAATGCGTTGCCGAAGTACAGACAAACTTTCACTTTTGAAGATTATTTAATTTGTAGCATCGCTTTTGTTTGTGAAGTACGAATCGTATTGTTTTTAGCTCCCCTTTTCCTTCGTTCCTTTACCTCTGCCTTCCTAACTAATTGTTAGGCTCTGAAACTTCTTAAACTAAGGTGGAAGATATATGAGAAGATACATTTTAATCTCTATTCGTAATTCATCTCGTTCTAATAAACTGTTGTCACTTTTGAGAACGCACTCTATGCAAGTCAAGTAAATTAGTTGGAGACAAACTTTCCACTGCGCCCTTCGCATTCGAACTCACTCATCTGCCACAGAATGCAGTCTTGACTTAGTTGTGAAGGGAGCGCAAAAAGTTTTTGGACCGGTGAACTGGAAGTCTGTTACTGAATCGGAAAGTCTCCACAGTTGAGAACCAGCCGTCATCGTCCCAGTCATGAGACCAACTGAGCAGGTCACGAGACACAGCCATAAAGAGTGTCACATGCGTTTATAGGTGGCAGACAGTAAGACTTAAGCCACTTCGCCAACCCTTAATGCGTCGACCACTTCTTCTTTAAGAGAACAAGTTTAATCTGAACGTATTGAATAACAGGACTTCAATCCAGAATGATTGATGGAAACTCTTGTAAAGATTAAAATGACTTCTTAAAGAAGAAATCAAATAAAACTTTGTACTAATGCGCTATTGATGTGGAAGTTCAGTCTTTTGGAGCCGAATAGTCCGCGCAATCAAACAATCGCTTAAAAGCTGGCGCCACTATTGTAAGGACTTAACGTTAGTCCAAATCTGGTCCTACAAGGCTATCGGATGATAGAAGAACCTCTTCAGGAGGCAAGAACATAATTGCCGTCTAGCTAATCTATTCAGCATAACCTGTCAAGTCTGTGTTAACTAAATTTTATTTGCAAGTGAAATTGAACAGAATCCAAAGAGTTTTACGACATCGGACTCCACGATTGCCGAATTAGGGGAGGCAAAGTCAGCAAAGAAATGGCAGAACCGTCCGATGATAGTAGCGATATGATGTCAAGACGGTGATTGTGTATCCTCAGTCTACAGAAAGTATTTCCTTTGCAGATGCACTTCTTTCACCTTCCAAATAATGAGTAATTTTCTCCTTTTTCAAGGTCTTTACTTGCATTGTCATCTTGGAAGGATGATAGTTAATTGCTAGACAAGGAATTGTCAACAGATGGGTAATCTTCTTGTCAAATCCATCCTCTGCATAATAGTCATTGAATGCTCCACGTAAAAGATTTTTTCTACTATCCATCCCAAACTACACTGAGGTCTCATTTCTTACTCCGTGACAAACGGTACAAACAGACATAGCCTGCATCATTGCTTATTTGGAAATCATAAATGAATTTCTTGGGAAACCGAATCCTGGAGACTTCAACTTCCCCATTTTTGCCTAGCTTAGAGCCATATGAGAGAAAGGAATAATAGTCGCCATTGTATTCCTTCCTCCCTAAACAGTATGAGGTCCAAATGAGACGAGAATCGCCATCCCTGAAACACGAAGTCGAAGAGGAAGAAGAAGAAGAAGAGGAGGAGGAAGAGGGGGAGGGAGAAAGAGAAGGAAAGGAAAAGGAGGGAGAAGAGGGCGTTTCTCTTGTGGAAGAGGAAGAGGTGGAGATGGGCCAACGAACCACCAGCATTCCCGAACCCGTATTCACTCTTTTCGCCTTCCTCGCTCGTCAGGGCATTCACATCAGTGACCTCTTTCGTCGTCCGGGTAACATCAGTCAAATGAAGGTGGGTCATGTCACATCTCTTGCTACAATATAAGGTTGCTCAATTGTTTGAGAGCGCATGTGAAGGCTGGAGCGTCGTAATCCTGAGCGGTGAAATAGTGAGGGAGGCAGAAACGATCTAAAGCCATGTCAAGAAACGCACAGGTCCAAGCACTTGTTGGGCTACCAGTTTTAAGGAGACCCTCTCGCAACCACCTCAGAGGTACTTTCAAGATGCATTTATGAGGCCGGTCGGAGGTAAAGAAAATTTCATTTTAGTATACATCTAACATTTGGTGACAGCATATTGTTTTTAGTGCTTTGTTGATTTAAACATGAGTTGGAAAGCGTTTATGATAACAATTAAATAACTGAGTGGAATAGTGAGACAACTGGAAGTAGATTGCCGAATTCGTTAATTATCGTCTTTTGTTTGAGTGCAGTAGCCACCCAAACATTTTGTTTCATTGTAAGGGGACAAATAAAAATAGCTTTTTTGGATCTGAGAATTTTGAAACAATTCACCACTTCGGAGGGTGAAAATTTCCTCGTCTCAAAAACCGCTCACTTTAAGTTGGAAGTTGGCTAGTTGAGTCGCCTTTTCCTCTTGCCCTGCAACAAAGCCAAACCAGCTCCTTACCGCCCAGATCGCATTATCAGGCAGATGGACATTTGCCCATACTAAACTTGAGCATAGGGGATGGTTCTATCCTCCATGCTGCGCGAAAGAAGTAGTAACGCTGTACAGCATTATACAGATTCTGTCCTGCGTTGTGCATAACAGCCTTTTATTTGAGTAAACAATCGCTATTTTGATTATAAAATAAAACCTTTTTTGAAGCAGCTGAGCGTATTGAATGGTAAGTGAATGGTACAGTGCCCCTGGAGCCAAAACACGGCATTCCGATGAAGAGAAATGGTTTATCACTAGTGCACATCCGGTCATCCACAAGACGGAAGTACGAATCATTGAAACAGCTAAAGATGGCCAAGGGCCCAAATTTTATCCCACTTTATTTTCAAAGTATGAATATCGAGATATGTAGCCATTGATTGCATTTGCTTCAAAGTTTGCAGCTATTTTTATTGGTAATACTACAAAACCAATGCAAAATATTTAATATTATAAGATGTTTTTAATTAACTGGCTGACCTTGAATTACTCCTCCACTTTCGAAACTTGAGTAGTAGCTTTAGTCAGGAGGAGGTTTCACTTTTACAAAGAAGGTTTGATGGAAGCAAGACAACATTGTTAAAAAATTGTTGTGGATTGGAGATGTTTGCGATTTTGATTTCGAAAACCATAATGGGAAAAGACACGAAGGCTGTAGGGTACTCTCGCATGGACTATGTTAAATACAAATGACTCTCAGAAAACTCTCTCCTACTTTGATGAGTTGGATGCACCTCCAGCACCACTGCAGTGCCTTTTTGCAGGATTTCGTGATGTTAACTGGTTTAGTGGCGATATCGCTTCCTTTCCTTGCAAGTTAAACAGGCGGTGAATGCTGTGACATCAGCAAATCGACGAGTGTTTCTGCATTCTACACGAATAAGACTTCATTTCCGTAGGGCTTTACAATTCATTGTTGTTATCGTTTATCTTCAGCAAGAGTGAGATGATGGAGGAAGTACTTGTGATGTGTTTTTCGTGAAAGGACATCATCTTCCTTTGTACCCTCACTCTGAAAATTCGTAACTTTCCCCACTATAAATCACCAATCATTCACTAGTTTTTTCAAGGTGGAATGCGAACCACTTCTTTATTGTTGAGTTATGGCTGCAACTTAGCAGCGAAGCAGAAAGAGTCTGCCTTTTAAACAGTTACAGAAATGTGTAGTAGGCAGTGTAACTGCCGATTTAATTGTTTGGGCTGATTTAATCCATGTTTTATTTCCTTGTTTAACAGGCGTTGCCACATTATTATTATTATAACTAGTCGTTTGAGTAATCAGCCAGTAGTTAAGTTGGTGGGACACAAACACCAAGTTTCTATAGTGACGTTAAGCTCTAAAAGGACAGAAAGTTAGGTTGGTGATCTTTGGCACCCTAGTGTTTCCTTTCGATGCATGTAGAAAGGACGAAGTGGCTTATCATTCAGGTTTTGGTAAGACTGGGATTGTCTCCTGTCAGCTTGCCTCCTAAATCAGCCCATCCACTATTTACACGCCATTCTTCAGTATTCCGCTGGATGTGACGCATTCATCATGCAGTGATTCATCAAAGGCCATCAAGTCTAGACGATGGGTCCTACCGTCTCCGGTAAATATCGCAATTGTTTCACCAGTCTTTTCTCACCGCTAAGCCGCGGCCGAATTAAAGTCCGTTGGCACACTCGGATTGCACCTCACACTTTGGCTTCTCTGATCGCCTTGGGTTTACTCTGTCCACCATTCAGAAGGCAATTGAATCGGGGTCGACGTATGGGCACCATGATGTTTTTCCTCTGCTCCCTTCATCGTTGTGCATAGAGTTGACGCTGGAAATCTTCAACCTTTGTAACACTTCAAAATATGTTTTGGTGGGAGAATTCATAACTACCGACTAAAAACGCTTGACAGTGAGTTGTCCCCCTCCTGACACCTGAAGTGGGACGTTTTTGCTGTCAAGTGGCTGCTACATTTGACACACTTATCAAATCCCGCGCCGGGTTCTTGCATTCACTGTAAATTATTAAATTTCCTTTTCCGTATTTCCACTTCACAATTAATTTTGAATTCAACCTACAATGCGGAGATAAGTGAAGTGTCTTGAAGTGCACGCCCCATAGTCAATCTTCTGGAATTGGGCCTTTCTATGCACTGCTACCTGTTGCAAGTCAGGTGGAAAAGCAGAATAACACCTCCACCACCGCAATGTGAATGATTGCTGCGTATTTCCTAGAACAGACTGCATTACAACGATCATTAGGGGGTTCGAACTGTTCCCCTCCCTTTGATCCCATCTCGTCACGGCTTGGGAGAGGCCTTCCTTTTGGCAAGCGTAAAAGCTAGAGTGCTACAGTGAAAAGTAGAAGCATGTAGAGAACACGACTTTAGTCTCTTCTTGACCCTTTGCAAACAAAGGCAGAGCAATCCCTTCCTACTGCTCCCCACTATTTCAAAATACACGCTCAAATCCCCAACGCGGTGTTGTGCGTACCGCCTCGGGCCACTTTAATGGCAAGTACGGACGCACTCATGCCCAATGCAATGACCAATCAACGGAGCGACGCATCACCATCATTCCCAGCCTCGACGCCGTACTCAGCATCAACAGCAGCAACATTAGCAGCAGAAACGACGGCATCAGCTGTTTGTGTTGGGTGCTATTATTAGTACCTGTTGTTGTGGCCGCTGCTGCGGATGGCTGTTGTAGCGGTGGGTTGTACGTCCGCGAGAGGCCGAGATTGCGCACCCTTGCCGCACCCAACTTGCTTAAATGCAACAATGCCCATTATATGAGAGGACGAGGGATGATAACTTGGTGCTGTTGTTACTGCATGCTACATCTTAATAGCGAAGTAGGAACCAACAATTAGCACCAGAAACGAAAACACCAAAACCGCATGTGGGAAAAAATGAATTGAGGTGGATAAGCAAAATAGACAACCAATCCTGCGATGCCTCCTCGGGGATTTAAAACAAAATTTGCTCCACTTCTTTGTAGGTAATTAAGACGTTTGCAAAACGAATGAAAAGTTAAACTTCCCCACAAAAATCCCCATTGCCTATGCCTGTTGCCAAATACCGTTTGTGAGCCTCAGTTCTTGAGATTTTCCCCAAAATCGAGTCGGTAGACTGCATTTAAAACGATTTCAACATTTAACCACGAGGCTCTCTGAATTTTGAATAGCGAATTGTCGCATCACTTACCTCCACTTTTTTAGTAATAAAAAGTAATGATGGCGATTGTTTGATTTTCCTTTCATGATGTGACGATGTTTTGCAGGCTCTACTTCTCATCAAATAAACTTATATCAAACTGGTTAATTTTAAGACGTCCCTACAAGTTAATAAGAGTATAAAAGAAAAATAAATTTTAAATGAGTTTTGTAAGAGGAATTTGAGTTCTAAAACAATACTACTTCAACATTTGTGTCTTTATGGAAAGGCTGAGAAAATGTAGGTGGAGTCAAATTTGTGCCTTTTTCGCTTGATCATTGCAGTTCATGACAAAAATATGGTGTTTTTCGTATTTCGCTTAAGCACGTAAAGTTTGGTTTTCAATGCAAACAGCGCGGACGCCTTTCTTCCTTCCCCTCCTCGTCGACTTCAAGTAGCGCTGCTTTGCTTGGCGCACTGAACCCTCCCCGAGGTCGAGGTTGGCGGGAAAGTGCTGCAAACCAGGAAACAGAGCAATTAGAAGACTGCTGACATGGTTTAAAACGCTTTTTCACAAAGTAGAAGCATCTACTCATCGCATACGTCGCTATACCTAGCCTTTGAGCCTTTCCAGCACTTGTGCGATAAAATTAACGAAAACGAGTCATGTCTCCAAAGCTTTGACAAGCAAAAAGGGGGAAAAAAGGTGTCTAAAAGTTGCACATTTTGCCGGCGCTGATGTGTCAACCTGACTTCATCCCTTTTAGGGCTTGGCTAAAAAAATCTACCGTTTTTGGGAAGTACCAATTTTCAGGTGTCAAGCGCACTGTTTGCTTTTCGCTTCTCAACCACTTTCATATGAAGGCATTCAGAGCCTACGAGTTGACCGCTAATTTGTCCAGAGAAGTTGAATGGAAGAGATCTTCTTGATTCGTGATGGCTAAACTCATCATCACTAATTCCGTCTGACCTCGGCAGTGCCATTGACGTTGACATTATCGCCAAACTATTTTGGATTTGGCCCTGCTGACGCCTATTGCTGCGACACATGGTTAAAAAGCCGAATGGAAGACTGGAAGGGCAAATTTTATGCATGCCTACGGCCATAAATAAGTGTCACACATTTGTGACATTCCATTTCACCGTTTTACGACAAAACGATTCCATCAGAATTTATGCAAAACAGTTTAGTGGAGTTTTAAATGGCTCTCTTGTTGTTAGAGCAGTCATCTTTTGTAGTGGCTTCAGCAGTTGTCGCATTGGACTCTGAAGAGTCCGTGAAAATGGAAAACCCGACAAAAGGGTTGTAAAGATTTCACCATCTCCGATGGTAAATAACACCTACCCCTAAGTTTCTCCATTGTACACTTGGGTACTTCTTTTCAATTTCAGACAGACTAAAACCTCGTGAAGTCTCATCGAAGTGTGAACTCTGGAATTTGTCTACTTGAGGCGTTCAAAAGCACTTCAGTTCCAAAACAGCAAAACATTTCTACCTAATTCATTTAGAAGAGAGGTGGTCTAAATGCAGAGTGATAAGCCCTTTTTGCCTTGATAAATTGCTTGCCATAAATGACAGCCGTATCAGAGATTAACCTGTTAAGAAAATTTCAGTCATGCCAAGAGGGCTCGAGGAGGACATTCGCTTTGCACCTAGATTGCGTGGGAAAATCACAACCCTTGTCGTGGGAGTAATATCAGTCTGTCCATCCATGAAAAATGCTAGCCGCCACCCCCACGACTCTTCATTTCAACGCGCCGTTTGCAAATACTTGACTGTGCATAAGTATGCGTTTGTGGTTTGCTGAAGGAGTTACAATTGAGTCGATGGCACAACACTTTGATGAGGAATGAACCTCGCTCCTCGTTGAGATAAATATAGGAACGATAAATCAGTCATAAAACCCAAAATTTATTATAAGTTTGGTAATATTGAGAAGGACATCGCGCCTTTCTATTACTCATCTTCCAAACTATAATGACGGTGTTCAGAGGTGGACAGAGCCACCCACTGACGACTCGAGCCAACTTTTTCTCCTTGTGGCCTTCAGTCAAATTGCTGTTTGAAGAAGTTGTGATTTCTTCGCACCTTTTTTTCGTACTTATTTCTACCAGGAAATTCAAGGAAGCGCTTTTAGTTCCTTTGCCTAATTTGTACCGTCAAATCATTGCTTTAAAATTGGTACTGAAAACCATAACTAACTACTCCGGTCACTTGAGGCATGCGTTTTGGTACTGTAACTGCTAATGGCAAGAAGGTTTTGAAAAATCGAATTTGAGGAGAAGTAAAACAAAGTTCATTGTGTTTTTATTGCTGGCACAAAAGTTCCAGGCAAGCCAGCTTCTCAGTCAACAGCTTAATGGCAATTGTCTATTGCGGGTAACGGGAAGGAGAAAGTCGCTGTCGTCGAATTTTCACGTATTAAGTGCTAAAACATGACAAGATTTAACAAAATCAACGGTAGTACTGCTTGCAAATACATAGGAGGAAGTGTTAGTGGACTAACTTCACAAAATAGGTGACGGGGCAAAAACGCAGCCATTCGAATTGGCTCTAGCGGTTTTATTGATGAAAACAAGTTCTAAAGGTTTGAGCATCATTATCTTACTGTGGCATTTAATTAAGTTACCAAAAATAAATCTTTTCTGAATGCTTTAGAAGGATGTACCTCAAATGAGTTTGGGAAAAGTAAAATTTTTAGTAAGTTTAGTCTTCGTAAACATTTTGCTTAATTTAACTCTATTTGTGTTTCTAGGCTAATAAAGTGTACTGGTGTGATTAAAAATTACCGCCTCTTAAATTCTTTCACTCGGGCATTTCGAATCGTCACAAATCTATACTACTACTTTTAGGTGTATCCTTAGCCTTAAAAATGACAAATTAAATTCAGCTAGCTTTTTTACGGATTGCTATTAAATAAACTTCCCTCTCATAAATGAAATTCAGGGAAGAGAGTGAATGTTGGAAGATTCAGCCGGGATACATCCCCATCTGCGCTAATTAAAGCTACTCCCTAGATCTGAAGTGGACTGGTCTTATGACAAGGAAGAATACCATCGACGTCTTTATTACCACGAGTGGGCCTGATTAGAAAAACAGGGAATTCAAGCCAGCTATAACTCCAGATAATAATAAACTCTTGCAGACAAGCAAGTAGGAAAAATAGACGTATGTTTTAACTCGCTCCACCGGTAGCAGTATGTATAGCTCCCTTGCAACCGCTAACCCAGACCTAAAAATAGCATCCATCTTCTGGCTCTCCCTCTCTCTCTGGCCCTCCCTTTTTTTGCCCTCAAAAGTGGACAAATGAGCGGGTAGCAATGGAGAGATGGAGGATCAAAATAAGGCGAAGGCCGAGACGGAATGCCTATTAATAGCTCGTCTGTTAGTCGTAAATATTGGATAAGAGGGAGAGAAGTAAACCAGCTGCGTACATTCTACTGCATGGGACGTGGCCAGGGATGGCTGTCTAGAAATGGCAAGAAGTCTTGATTAAATTGAAGGCTAATTCAACTAACCTTAGGAGTGGGGATTTTACAACGCTGATTGTGGATGTGATGTTGGGAGCAAACAATATTCCTGACCAAAAGAGGCACAAAAGTAGAGATAGAAACAACGCCTTATGCTGGGCACTGTCCATGACGACATTGGCTAAGAATCCATTGTTACCGAAATGTGTGCTCATAGAGGTGGCACTTAGCCTACTTCCAATTAAATCATTGAGTGTCCACCACTCGCATTGGACGAGATATTCAGCATTACTGAGAATCGCTTTATTTTGTTTTCTTTTAGGTTATTAGTTCCAGTTTGGCTAAAGGTGAAGTTGTAGACTGGTCCGCCTACAACGTATACACAGTAGCAAATGTCGCCAAGCGCTTTCTCCTTAGTGTTCCCGGCGGCATTTTTGGAGAACACAACGAGCGTCGCCTTCTAGTGGCTGCTGTGCCTCCCAGCTCCCCTCACTCACCTCATCCACCTTCTTCCGTTTCCGGCACCACTTCTACTACGACCACTGCATCATCCGCACAGCACCGTCTTCCCAGCAAACTTCAGCATGCTCCGGGCTTCCAAACATCTCACGTAGAGACGATAGCGGAGGGTAGTACTGCAGGTTATGGAAGTGGAGGGGAGAGTGGAGCGAACGTCTTTGTCTCCTCCCCCTTTACCTATCGAACGGGATTTTTGTGTGACTTTGGAATGCTGCCCCCTTCGCCTGTGGAAATTGATCAAATTGACTTGTTTATTGAGTAAGTGTCGTGAGAATGAGGTCTCAGACTTGGTAGGCGGCTTTGAAGGTGGTCACCCCCTTGTGCAATGCTTTCTTCCAATAAAGGTTGCATTCCAAAGCGGGTAGTAACGGCTGTTTGTTTCCATTTTGTCAGGATTCTTGACACTCTGCCTCCTCCGTGCCGCGAGTTGGCGATAATTATTTTCGGCATCCTCCACAGTATGGTTCGTCATGCGGGTTTTGAGGTGACTACAGGGTGTCATGCCTGCACTCCCTCCACACCTTCTCGCCCCTCCTCTTCCTTCCTGCAGGCTCCACAAACTACTTCACTCTCAAATCCGCCCCCACCTCCACCAATCAGAACATTGGCCGAGGCTGTGTCCAAATCTGTTGCTGGTGCCCTCCTTCATACCTGTCCCCTCTCCGTTGACATGGTCGACAGGGGCTCACAGGTTCGCTCAATTCTAATGACGTTAGATATTTCTTTTTCTACCAACTTTGAAGTATAAAGGCTTATCCAGTAAACAAATAAGCTTGAAAGCAGGAAGGGAATGAAAACGGGCGTTTGTGGTCATTGAATTGCTCCCTTGGGTCAAATCTGCTCTCCCTCTGCCCTGACAAGAGACTAAATATCAAAAGTCCAATTAAGATGGAGAAGATTTGAGGTGGAATACGGAACCAAAGAGGCAATGGATTTAAGAGACAACAGAACTATAATTTTTTTTTGGAATTCTTTGAGGTACATTATTCCCCGTTGAGGAGCAACTTTAGAGTTGACTATTTTTAGCCCACCATCTATTAATAGCCTCACGTGGAGGATGGAGTGAGACGGGAAAAGAACTGATCATTAAATCTACACTACCACTGCTCCTCACTTCCTAAATCCAGTCCATTTTGAAGGCAGTCAAAAAGGAAGGAAGGAAGAAAGGAATGAAAAAGGTGTGGTGAGCGATTCCATCCTTTTTCTCTTTCTCCTTTCCACCTTTTTCTCTCCACTGAAGATATCTACAGAGTACATGTGTCCATTAATCTTGCTGCTCTCCTTCCTCTCGGACCCACTTTGCATCAGATTCTGGAGACTGTTCAGCTCTTCTGTTCTCGTTTCCCACCTCGAGGGCGCTAAAATTCTCAAGAATAAAGAAATGTGGGTAAAGATGTCCTTACGATGGCCTCCTTCAACATGGGGGGTCCTTAAGAAGGCTACGCTTTTGCAATCGCTCCCCCTCCTGACGTTGATAGTGAGGTGAGGCTAACAAGTCGCCTATCAAACGACTTTCTCGGCTCCTCAGGGCCGTGACCCAATAGAACGAATTTGTATCTTGGGCTCAAAGGACTTTCTTTCTCCGCCAACCTCGGTCGACCGTGGTGAGCGGCTATTTCTGTTGTACAAAAGAAGCTTGACTCGATTTCCGATCTTCTTGTGACACTTGTACCCGACTTGGAAAGGGTGCAGCGTTGGAACGCAGGACCGAGAAATCGTCTATTGTTTTAGGCCGACTGAAAAATCACCTGCGAAAACCATACAGTGAGTCTAAGGAGGAACTCCTGACCCTTGTCTCTGTCAGTTTCATGACGAAACAGACAGAGCCAACTACGAGCCTCTATCTACGTCTTGGAAAGAGATGCTAAGCCTGAGGCATGCATCGACATGTTCCGATAGGATTAAATACCTTCCTTCCCCTCACTTTATTCAAATGGAGTAAAAAACGCGTTTTTCCCCAGGCTTTGACTACCCGGGGGGACAGCTGGCTAACTGTTGCATTTAGTAGACAAAGGCGTGCACCATTGTTCAGCCCGCCTAGGCTATCCGCCTCCTGGTCACACAACCCTGCACTCCAAAAACGGGCACCAGGTGGTGTCCCTCACGTCCAGTCAATGCATACGTCGTGCATCGCGATCCGTTTAGTCAATTGAAGTGGATCAGATGATCAAATTATTTGGATCTGTGTGAGAGAATAGAGGCGCCAGATTTTATCATCCTTCACGAGGCTTTTTATGGTCATCACCCTGCCCGGCAGCATCATGGCGGTTGCTAGGCTTAGCAGCGGCACATGGGCATGATGTTTGAGACATCTTAGACCGTTCTGGCAAAACCCAATAACGAAACTACCTCAAAGATTGGAACAAGAAAGTAATCTGACGATACGGTGAATATGGGAAGCTTTGATTTTGTAAGAACATTGCACAGTGCCACCTCAGAGGATCGATCTTCTGTCAGTTGGTCAGGCAAACTATCAGGGACTTTTCCTCCCCGACATCCCATTAAACAGAGCGCATCGGTGTACGAGTTGCCTAAACAGCGTCCAACAGCATCGCCATCAGTTGGACGCCCTGTTCAAACGCTAGCTCCTCAATATAAATGAATTGCAATTCTTTTTCACTGTCTCGTCCAAACACTGCTTCTTAAACGCCCTGAAAGGGCTTGAGACTTGTGATGGTGCGCAGTTGCCCAAAATAGTTGGCAAAAATAGTTGTCTTACCGTGAGCATTCTGAAGAGGGTCTGCGGGCAATGTTCATCAGTCAGTGCTGTAACCTTCAGACGTTCATTTGGGACCTCTATTTTCCCATCAATTTTTATCCTAAACTTGAAAAGATGATCTCTTTTACGACAACTTCTTTCACTGTTGAGTAGGTAGGAAGACCTGTACATGCTTTTTTATTGCGCAGAATGGATCTGGATTTGGCACTACTGGGAGGGCAAACCACCTTCACGAGGAAAGGCTTCTCAGTTCACTTGCTTTTTTAGACACCTCTCAAGTCAGATCGTTTGTAACATCTGATACACTTTAGAATTGCATGCCCTTTTGGCGTTTTGTGAACCACTGGATCATCTGCTTCTGTCTGAACGGTGAATGTGTAACGAAGTGGACTTGGAGAATGACTGATAAACTTCCCCAATTAACGTCAGCCGGCGTCCACCGTGGGAGGACTGAGAAATCTTGTTCACTTCTACTCACCCTTCGGCTCTGAGGATTCGATGGCACAATTTGGCGCCGCTGGTTGAGTAATGGAGCAACGAGGTGGCTGAGCGAACCAATTCTTTCGGTATTTTTGGACGCTGACCCAAAAATGGTGGTTCCATGAGGGAGCACTGGTGTGTGAGGTGCATCCGATTGCTAGCCCTTCTCAATGTCTTTATTTGCTGAGCGAATGGCACGCTGGATTAACATTTAGGTGGAGGGAGAAGGTGATCCTGTCAGCATGTTATCCCATCGTTTCGTCCAAAAAAAAGGAAAAAAAGCTTTTACATTTTACACTTCTTCGTAGATGCTTTTTTTTGCTTTAGCGATGCCTCAGCAAATTTGTTGTGGTAAGAAAAGGGTAAAAGAGGGGAGGAGATAAACAAGTACCATTTTCCCTCCGTCTTTAGTGAAATGGCTTGAGTTGAAGGTCTGGTCGGTCAGAGGCTAGCGCTTACCGACAGCTTCTTAGGCACGACAACCTGATCAAGTGATCACGTTTTGGCATATACGGGCATCACATTGTCGGATCATTTGTCTTCCCCCCCGGGGGGTGTAGAATTACTTGCATTTCAAAGCCTTTCAACATCCACTCCAAATATTCTCCTCATAAATATTGTCACAAAATATGCAATTTTATGCACTGTTAATGAGAAACTGCCATGCATAATAACTTTGGCGCCAGACATCCATTTAAATGTGCTTGAAAGGGTGGAAGGAGGAAAGGGAGCGTGAAGAGGAGGAGGAGGAGGAGCAGCAGCAGCAGCAGAAGGAGGAGGAGGAGAAGCAGGAGGAGAGGATGCAAACTGCTTACTTGACTTCACCCAAAAATCTCATTTATCCACTTTTTAATTCAATGTATAACGTAGGCACTTGAGAAGCAAAATGGTTGTTGCCGTCGTTGTTGTTGTTGCCGTTGTTCAACAAAAGCGCTCTGTTGACGTCGCCTCCCATCCCCCCTTTTTGAATTCAATAACACCTGAGACTCTTTTTCCTTCTTCAAGAATGACTTACTTATCGGCTTAATTTCTTTCGCCTCCTTCCGCTTGGAGCTCTTGCTTACTCCCAAACCACTTCAGGTAGAATTTTTCGTACTTTTTAAAGGAAGCCTTCACGACAAGGTGAAGCTCCAACCATTTGCTAGCTGCGCTTAAATGTCAGGGAAGAAGACTAAGCTAGGAGAAAATGAGAAAGAATTAAAGGAAAGCTGTTTTACTTAATGACGGACATACTACAGCGTATTTTTATGTAATTTCTTAAAAATAGGAAAAAAATAGGAAAGAAAGCCCTAATTACCCACATAATCTTAGCAAGTTAGCCAGTTCCTCCCGTATCAGATAGCTAGCTTAGTTTCTCAAGCGCTCGTCCAAAGAAGAGGATCTATTTACCAACGCGATGCTTAGCCTTGACCTTTTGCCACAGGTCAATTCAACGAGCCAATCAAATTTGAACTAAAATAAGATAGAGGAAATACACTGGAGGAGTGAGAGAGGAGGAGGAGGAGGAGGAGAGCCAACTGCTGAGCCTTAATTAAGATCTCACAAATGTGCACCCATTGAAATGTCAAAATGAAGAGTGGAGGGTACGACCACTTCCTCGTAACTCCCTCCGCCGCCTCGCGCCCCAAATGACAGGCATTTGGACCCTCCTGACAGCGCGAAATCGGAATGTATTTTGCTTAATGGGTGGTTTATTTCAAACCTGTAAAAAGGTCAGCTTTGAAATAAAGTGATTTTTTTGGCAGTGTGTGCACGAAAATGCCACCCCATTTTTTTCACCTAGAACGTCAATGCTGCGTGCTAAATTGGGGGTAAAACTTACTACTTATTCTATAAATACTGACATTTCGGTAAGGTACTTGGAGAACTATTTTGTGGACAAAAGCTGCTTTTTGTATGCCGGAGTAGAGGAGTAATATCGACAAATTGTGGAATCAGCCAATACCAATTTTCCCCCACTCGTCACCGTCTGATTGACCAATGAGCAAGACATCGATTTTACCCGCCTTCCCATTGGCTAGACAGACAGCATAAATATTTCCTAATTTTTTGTTGCTTAACTTTAGGTAATGCAAACCCTGATTCTTCGATACGCTCATCTGGGGGGGGCAATCACCACCTTCTACACGGACCTCCTTCTTGGACATGTGCGCTCAAACCTCTTCTCCTCCTCCTCCTCCCCCTCCTCTGCAGTCATTCCCTCGATGTCTCAGGTCGTTAGCAGCTTCATTGTGCCTCCTACTTCCACGTCTCGAATAAAAAAATCGAAAGGAAAAAAGACACTTCGAAAGGGCCAAGGTTAGTCATTCTCCTCTCCTGTCCTTCCCTCCCCTTCCTCCATTTTCCACCCTCCCTCTCTCCCCCTTCTGTCAGCGTTTAAATGAATCGTGTGTTTTGGGGGTGGGCTGTTGATCGCGTGTAAGCAGAATTTGACTGTTGGTCCAGGTATTTCGATGGACTGTAGTTAAAAATGCTATTTCACCTGCATATGTGACACGTTCTTTCCATCTCCCTTGTAAAGCACTACTAGAATCATAAAAATTTTCAAAATAAAGCCAGTTAAATGAGATGAAAACGCCGAATGCAGGGCAGACGTTGTCCTTTTTGATTTTCACATTTTTATAAGTACCAGCTAAGTTGCTCATCTGGGCTGGCCCAAATTTGTTGTTACATTGACCGACTCGCCTTTGAGGCGGATCATGCGCCAAAAAATTTAGGCAACTGCCTTGATCTACAATGGGGTTAAGGGCAGTACCACCAATTGCCCACTTAACTTTCCCTATGATACTGGAGGTTGGGAGGGGAATGAAGCAGAAGCGGCCTCCCCATTTAAGCGAATCCCAGGGTCAGTACGTCATCCGTTGCCCTATTTTTTTGCTTATATCGTAAGGTGGAGAGTCTCTCCGCCATTACACAGTTGGTGACTATTTGCCAACAGAGGCTCTCTGAAAGGCATCCAATTGTCTGCATTTAAAGCGGTTTATTCATGCCCTTCGTTCAGTCTTGAGCCAATGTTTTGGAGACCTGATCACCCGCTTTCCAGGTTCAATTAGTTGGAAATTGTGGCAATCGTTTAGTCGGAAAATCTCCTTTTCATGGGAGATGAAAATAGAACTTTGTTTATAAAAGCTTGAAAAAAAAATGTTCTCTCTATGGTTTGATAGTCTTCTAGTAATCTGCGTGACGTTTAGCCTTTCCGTCATTACACTCACTGCACACACAAGGCGGCAGAAGGAGGGAGGCGAGAGCATCACATTTAAGGGGTTAATTTCATGAGCATTCAGTCGATTCACTCATTCAAACGCTGGAAGGGTTCCACGCTGAGGGGATGTTATTTGCTGCATAAAAGGGTTTCAAACGTCTCTAACGGCGGTCCAAAGACTTGAATGTTCGTACCACGGCACCGCACCGTTGGTGAGCAAACAGAGCTCGTTTGTCTTTTGAAACTTGAATAAGAGACTTTAAATGGCGCCTTCGCCAGTTCATCCGCCACATCCATTTGATTAAAGTAGTGCGTTGGGCTGCAGACGGTTTGGGGACCGTGCCAGTCCAAATAGTGGATCACCCTTGAAGCCTTCGTGCAAGTATTTGTGCCATGTTATTTCAGTGGGAGATCGAGGGAGGCTGTTGGACATTTAAAAGGATTGCCTGACATCTAGTGAGGGTGAAGGACCTTTTCCGCCCCAAAGTCAGTCACCCAGCACCCAGGAAGGTTGGACATTAAAACTAAATTTTACCTGACTACTATGGTCACCTACAGATCTGGATATCCAGTTTAACCAATCTGTATGCCACACGACGTGGTACAAATAATCCACAGAAATTGAAGGCGAAGGAAAAAATGAGGGAGCGTGGGGAAAGCAAATGCACCCCAGAATGTTATAAATGATTTACGATCCGTCTACACGGTCTGCTTGCAGGATACGACAGGGATAAAAGACGAGAAGGGATCGAGGGCGTTTTGCTTCCCTCTAATGCCTTTTAAAGCGCCGCAAACTGGAGAGTTTGGCTCTTTCATGAACGCCGCCTGTTGTTCGGCAAATGAATTCAAGGATCGGTTCTAATAAGTGACATTTGACCAAACAGTGACATCCAAATTTTGAGTGTAGCAGCTTTATTGAAGCCACTCAAACGAGCACCTCCTTTCACTAGTTGAGTGTTTTTAACTGTTATTGGAGGCAAAAACCCCTTGTTCAACATATCCTGGGCTGGACGAGGGAGTGAAAAAGGAACTAGCAATAGATCGAATTTCTTCCTAAACTTTAATCGTGCCTCATACTCCTGCAACGTTGTCACTTTAAGGTGTCGAGGAGGAGAAGTACACGCCACCAGTGGGTCGAATCCTCGCATTGGCGTCCCGGCTGCTCTGCCTTACACGAAGCCGTCTTGGAGGAGGAGGAGAAGGTGAGAGGAGCAGCCAAGCCGCCACTCACCCTTTCGCCTACACAACTCCCTCACCCTCCTCCATAGTCAGCGTTCCACCACCTCAACCGCCAGCAACGATAACAAAGGCTGAAGTTGCCACCAAAATACCAGTCACTGCTGCTGTTACCGAGTTGCCGTCGGCAGAGCCAAAAGACGTCGGAAAGGAGGTGTGTCATTATCAGCTTGTTTGAGCTTTACTCTACTTTCCAAAACCACTCACTTTTTTTCCACAAAAGTAAAAAATGCTTTGAGGCGCTACCTTTTTTTACGAGAAGGACTAAGATTGGGAACACTGGAGAGTTAATGAAGCTAATCACTTGTGGAGAATTTGGTAAGAATTATCTGTTGTGGTAATGATGGAGAGGAAGGACTCGGTGACTTGAACAAGAATAGTAAAAGATGACTCGGTTATTTTTAGGTTTGACAGGCCTGTGTTGTGTCCTGCGTCAAACAAATCGTTTCTCGGTGCAAAGTACGCGAACATATTCGTGCTGAAAGAAATGAATTAAAAGGGGTGGGAGGGAAGAATAGTAGTTTTGGTTAAAAATGATCAAGCGTAAGCAAACGCGTTAGGTATTTTTTAAAAGTGAACTTTTCTGCACATATAGGAAATTAAACCCGTGAAAAGATTGTCTTTTGGGTGTCTTTATTTTCATTGGTCATTTGATAATTAATGCATGTATTGGCCAATCAGCGATCAGAAGAGGATGCCATATCCCCACTCTCAAACACTTTTTCGAGATATGGTTTTTGCTTCGGACAAGAAGTGATTTAAACTACTCAGAACTGCTAAACACCTGTCCTCCTTCTAATCTTCCACTTGCTTGCTACGTTATCAGTGAATCCGTTAAAAGCCTTATTATCTTGGCTGAAGTCCCCACCCTGGCACCAAAATGGCGACATAATCAACCTTAAGGGAGAAGGAGAAAGGAGGCGGAGTGCAAACAGGATAGCCGTCCATAGCATGATCAGTCTGAAAGTGTACAATTTTGACTAGATGATATTATTCACGCCACTGAATTGGTTAAGCAAAATGTTCCGATCTTATACCATCCTTTCAAAGAATTACCTCATTTCACACACCTTTGCAATGATTCCTGCAGTGTTGGAGGTAATTAATCTGTTATCGAAATCATTTAACTTCAGATACATTCATTGGGTTAGACCTCATTAAGGTCTAGGAGCTATGAAGCATTGAGAGGGAAAGAGGAAGGAAGGAAGAGGAGTTGACAAACCGTAAGGACTGCTCAGTACCGATGAATCGACTATAAATACTAAAAAATGTTGACAATTTGGTGAGTTTTAAAAAGGCACCTAACTGAAGATGCAATTTCTGTGTCTTGTTCTGCAAACAAGGCGAAAACATGCCTTTTCACAGGGTTTAAGTACCGAGGGGTCGATCATGCTGACAGGATAATGGCAAGAATGTTGATAGGGAAAAAGGGAATGAAAATGTCAACTTCCATATGTCAAATCAAATTTGTAACTATTGAGAGATAAGTAGCTCATCACGTGCAAGTGCTTTTGGAATCGAATGAGAAGGTGAAGACATTTAAAAATGGATTGAAAAATCGGTCCCTTAGAGGCTGATACTACTTATAGTGGAAATGAGTCGTACCTGATGGACGAATGAAGGGATGGATGGCGTGGACACTACGCTCCACTTCGTTTTTGAAGTGTCTTCTCACTGCAATTAAATTGGATGCATTTGACGTACATCTTCCTCTATTTAACGGTAATTCATTGCATGACAAGTTCTGTTAAGTGGAGTGAATGTCAACAAAGTAAATGTTTGGTACTTTTCCTGATGCTGATGCTATCAGGGCGCATCTTTGGTGGGTGTAAAGTTCCGTTCAGCTTATACTAAACCTGCTTTTCAGAATCATGACTCTCCGAAAGAAGAAACCGATGACTCTGATGGCGCGGTACATCCCCACACCCTTACTCGCTCCTACATTCGGCGCTCCCATAGCCGATACCGAGCTGTTCATCGACGTCAAATGGAAGCGATGCTTCGTCGAACTGCATGGTTTCTTGGCTCCAACGTCACCACTGCCACCGCGGTCCCAGCTACCACTACCACGACTCCCGGCACCGCCCCCCAATTGGTCGTGACCTCAGCAGGTGTGCCATATGCTCCAACTTCCACTCAATCATTGCTGGAGATCGGATCACCACTGGACCTAGAGGAGCAGCAGCACCAATTTCAGCAGTTGCCGCATTCCCCTGAAGGTCTAACAGTGCCCTTCTACCTCAGTCCGCTGCCTCGCATCAGTGTGACAAGCATCCGCAGTGCACCGACCTGCCAAGAGTCACCTACCACTCCTCGTCAAGTAGATTCAGGAGATGAGGAAGAAGAAGGAGAGAAGGCACTTGTGGAGGAACGATCGAGGAGCATTCCACGACTTAAGTGATGCTGCTTTATCTCCAGTGCTCGTTTGTATGTACGCGTGTTTCCAGCTAGGTTCTTGAAATTTTCTTCTTCGCTCTGCAAATCTCTCTGTTTCTCTAAATAGCCTTATTTGCTTTTCTTGTTGTACGATCTCCCCTGCTCCCCATCCCTTTTCCTGCCACTTCGATTATTTCGTCAACCCCTCCTCTGACTCCTCCTTCTCGTTCTCCACCTCTTATTCTTTTTGGAATATCGGCTAGGTGGACAATAAAATTGTTTTGCTTGGTGGGTCTTCCTTACTGAAAATCCGGCTAATGCAATTGCTTTTCTAGGAAAAGGGGGAACATTCGACTTTCTAGCAGTCCCTGGTACTCTTCCCCATTCCACAATAAAAAGTTAGGTACGAGACTATTCTCCTACCCCTAGCCAAGGTACGTTACCACGATACCATATTAAACGCCTCTACATGAGGAAAATGCAATGTTTCCTTTCACCACAACCGAGGAGTGGGCTGAAGTGTTGTGCATGGGTAAAGGCGTTATTCCACACGTCCTTAACGCAAATGACTGAAAAATGTGGCGTCATACGCTAAAAAGGAACCGTGTGTAGTCATAAAATGTCTTTTCCCACAAAGAAGTAAAAAGGATATCCGTATAACCCTACGATGAACTAGGAGGAACGAAAATCTTCTCCATTCAAAAGTAAATGGTGGTAACTTTTCAAGGAAGGTGGGTTTGAGTCTATGACTTGCATTTCTACGGACAGGTTAGAGTAGAGGACGGTCGTCTGATCGTCACGAAGTGGTTTGGCGACTCTTCGCTGTAACTAGCTCCTCCTCATCTGCCACTGAATTCCACACCATTGATGGGCAAAAAGATCGTTTCTCATCACAGGCATTTCCATGATGATGTGTGTTGGCCTTGTCGACTGCCTGACAATGCTCATCTCAGGCAGGACAGATATAAATCATACTTTATTTCTAAGAAATGTTAGTAAAGAAAGCATGCTTCCACTAGCACTCGCCTTGCAACATGAAAAAAGGGTAAGCATCACAAAGATACTGAACTCAATGTTAAGAGGAGAAGAGACCTTCGTCATTTTTAGTCGTAATCCTCATCATCGTCGGCATCCACACTCTCGATGCCATACTCCTTCATCTGTTCTGGGTCAACTTTGTCACCGGCACCGCCGCTCCTCAGGTGCACAGGATATCCCGATGCAAGTGTACCATTCAGCAAATCTACAATATTCGGATGCGGAACGAATCCATTTGGTGGGTTTCGATTCTCAATGAATTCCCTCACAAAAGCCTCCGTTCCTCGCGGATCGTGAGCACCTCCCGAGGGCTTCTCCCAGAATCGCATCTGATCCTCATTTATCTCCTTGTTCAATCGAATCTCGGTCTCCAGCCACTGAGCTGTTGCCTCATCACAGAACTCACGAAGTCCCTCACTTAGATTTTTCGACTTCTTCTCAGGGTTAGAAGAGGACTTCTGTGATGACTTCTGCTTTAAGAAGACCACCTTATGCGCGGTGACAGGATCGAGGAACTTTCGGATAGCTCGCCAAATAGATTGGAAAATGGACTTATGGTTCACAATCACAGCAGCGCCAAGACGTTCAGGATAGTAGTTGGAGAAGACATTCGACATCTTCTTGCCGAGGTTAGGGTTGCAGCACGGCAACGTCATACCTATCAGTTTCGACAGATCAATTGATCACCACTGAAATTTTAACAACGCCAAGCAGCAAGTAGTAGTAATTAAAATAAAGATTTCTATCACTCGAACAAAACTAATAAGGGACGAAAAGACAGCAGGTGGACGAATTTCTACAATTTAAAATGCTTTGATGCTACTTAAGTAGTTTTAAGTAGATGAAATGAAACTTAATGATCCTCTCCTTTGACACGACAGTCATAATAAGCTCAGTAACCATGGTTTGATTAAAGATGCATAAAGTTGCGAGAGGACCACTAGTTTAATTGTCAACTTTTGCTTTTGCGGCTACTACCCAGGGGCCTGAGAAATTGAGCCTTCCTTAGCGTTCCCCTCATCTGCCAACGTTACATTGAGATTTGTACCCAGGGCACACGAAACCCAGTGGCTCCCGAACAAAGAATAACAACGAAACCCCCTATTTACTTTATACCAATATAAGCCAAAGCCTTTGTAATTGGAGTGGTCTTCCTGAAAAATCGACATAATTCAAAAACCTTCTTGGGCGCTCGATGTCAGATGTACTAACTTTCATAGTGCGAAGGAAAACTCACCTGTGCAATCTATGATAAAGAGGACTTGCGTAGCCGATTGCTTGAAGGATCGGCGTGCATTTTCCAACATCTGAACGCAATGCAAGATGGTGTCCGACGAGTGATTCTTTGCGGCAAAAGCCTGCGCAAAACAGGCGTACAATATGGGGCGTCCAAACTTATCGTGTCCAACTTGACGCTAAAAAGTAAATCAGCTTCTTAAACAATATGTTTAAAAGTTCATTAACAAAAGTCAGGTAGCACAAATTGATTGACTGGTCCGAGAAACAAGAATCGCTCGGAAATTTGTGACCGTGACCTGCCACAGTCCAAGGAGCAAAATCACGTAAGCGCAGGTTACTCATTAAAGCATTGCTTAAAATCAATTAAGAACCTTAATACGCCTTCATTCCTTCCACTTAAAGACAGTTTCTAGGATGTGTTTAAGCTGATTCCCTATGTCTTTGTATCACAATGGATAAAATTACGAAGCTTCTTTCTCTTTAGTTTTCTAGAGATATACTACTCAATAGGAAATAAGTAGAATGATATTTGGAATAATCATGACAGAGTTACAATGTTATTTTTGATAAGTTTGTCTTTTTGAAAGTACCAAAAGCATCACAAAGAATAGTCGTATCCCATGATAAAAGAACTGTGACCGTAATTTTACAACCCCATAAAACATAGATGGAGGACCTGTGAGGGCCTTAGACTCATAAAACTAACGAGGCGGAGGGGTCTATAGTACGTTTGAGTGTGCTCTGATTTGGAAAGGTCGATTAAGTATGTTTTAGAAGTTCATTAATACCATCTAAAAGCCTGCCACCTACTTTTTTTGTTTGTTCCTAACCAGAATTCTCGGTAGCTTGGTAAGCAATAAATTGAAAACGCTGTTCGAGGAGTAAAGAGCATCATCAAAATAGGTAGCACTGAGCCGTCCGTTTCTGACTTCTTGTAGCATTCTCTTAAACGATTCCGGGTAGGATTTAGTGAGCATCACGTTGCACACACAACTTGAGGCATGAAAATGGGTCGCCTATCTGTGACCTGAGCTGAGATCAAAGCGTAATGATGCGGTGAAAGGTGGCCACACCCAATCCGTTAGCGTGTGTGTGTGTGATGTTTCACCACATTTTTCATACCCTAAATGACGCAACAGGTGTGTAGCATTCCGACTTTATTCCCACAAAGATCTCTTTTTTACTTAATTCTTGCTATTTTTAATCACAAATAGTAGTAACTATGGTCGTGGAGAAGACCTTGATGGTGGATGGAGTGTAGATTTAGTCGCCGAGGTGTCATGATCGCGATTTAATCCTTATGCTATGAGCAAGCAGTAATGCAGTTATCAAGGGAAGTGGAGTAAAAAGACAAATGCGAGCACCCAAATGATTTAAAAATTCGTAAACTTCCACACAAAAATTCTCCACGCACTTGCTTTGAAGGAAGGCATTATCCCAACCCTTTTGAAGCTACACTGTTACAGGTAATCGACAACACAGAGAAATTGTTGAGGATAAAAAGAGGCCACTCTGATGCTGCCTAAATTTGCTGACAAACGGCAAGAGAAGTCGGTGGTATGCTAAATGTCTAGATGCTAGCAGTGGACCACATCAACGACTTTGAGAATCTCGACTTGATCTGACATTCAGTGACTTACAATGCAATGGAATCCCGGTTGATTGTGACAGTAATTACAATCGACCTTAAGCGGTTGGTACTCACGTCGCCACTCCACTGCAGCTGTCAGCATTTCAACCGCATCATCCAATTTGTACTTCCTCGCACGGAGAAAGTCAGTCAAACTGACAAACATAACAAGAAATGCTCATCATGCTGATATCCCAACAGTTAAAATGATGATCAACAAAGTTGACGCCCAGAACTCACATTGACTCATTAGTGAAGAAGTCGGGCTCATCAGGCAGTGGTTTGCATTTCTTTACCATAGTTTCACGAAATGCAGTAAGTAATCGGTGGAACTCTTGCGGTTCTCTGGACTCAAAATTGGCACCCTTTCCAGAGGATTTTGATGACGACATAATGAGCTTTAGGAGAAAGAGAGCGGAATGGAAGTGAAGAAAATTGTCTGCAATTTTGACTTAATTTTTAAAAAGCCAAAAATCTTAAAAGTTAAACACAAAGTTAGACTCTAGACATCCCAAGAGCACTCACGTTTCTGCTTTTCGTATTAAGTGGAGTAGAGTGAAGTTGCGCTTCACACAATGGCTTCGAGTGAGTGCCATTCTTTATGACCTTGAGATGGGCCAATAGCAATGCTGCAATCTGACACCTACCCCTTGGCGTTACTCGCGGTATAGAAAACACAGTCATGTCAATACGAAGACGTGTGGATTTTCAGATTGAAGGCGACTCATAAGCTATGACGATTTTTGGTAATTATGGCTAGAAGGCAGATTCAGCTTCATAAGAGACTACAACATCAGTGAAAATCGACTTTGGCACAGTCAACTCTGGCTGTGGATTAGTCTCTAGTGCGCCTGATCCAGATGCGTCTCACGAAGGCTGAATGATGGTGTGGGTTGATGGTGTTAATATGGCAGGTGCCAATGATTGCACATCTTTATGTAGGCAGTCTTGACATCTTTTTTTGATTGTAGATCCACCGCAATTTTATTGTTTGTAGACTTATTCGATTTATAGCAATATCATAGTGATGTTGATTGCAATAATGTTAGAGAGATTGCTCATTTTCTAGGTGAAACATTTTTGGTGGGCTAGTCTTTGTTAAAACTTTGTTGGTCAAGGGGTCATCGGGTCCATTATTTTCACACTACCCAAAGTCCTACAAGTGGGAGGGAGACTTAGGACTCTCGTCGTGGAGAAGACAGATCAAGTGCGAAATATTTCAAGTTCTAGCACTAAATTGCCACCTCCACAAGGTCTTTTACATGCCTATGATTGCAGACTCATAAATCAGTGCCCTTTGTCACTAGTCTAAGTGAAAAAGAAAATAACCAAAGCTCTAAATTGGGTTTTCGTATTTGGGGTTACACACGGCCATTCGAGAGCAGTTCCTGAAAAGGGAGCTTTCATCACCACGCTGGGATGATCATCAGCAGCACTCACAGGAATGGCAAACTGACCTCCTGCAGAGAAGGTGGTCAGGCTGGTCAACAACACTTTCAAACGCAATTTTGGGGGGTTCTTCGATGACCTCTTGTTCTGTATCAGTGTCTCCCAATTTTGCATCTTCTTTGATCACAATCGCTTCTTGATCAGCTTCTTTCTCCACATTCTCTAATACGTCGTCTTCCGGTTCCACTTCCTCTGCCTCATTTTCTGCTTCAATCTCTTCACTTCCTTTCTCCTCGGTCTCCAATGCAATTCCATCTACCTCCTTCGCGTCAATTTTTGGATCAACCTGATCTCCATCATCCTCTTGCCTGCTGCCATGAATTTTGCTCTCTGCTTTTTCGTCTGACATGGCTTTCTCCACTTCATGTGGTTCCTCTACTATGACTCGAGCTCTAATGAGAGCCAGCAGCATGAGGAAAATGACAGCGTGCATCCTGGTAGTAATGCTTCGACGAAGTGTGCCACACCATTCCTGTACTATGCGGTTTTATGTTCATGGATTTGCTTACTTTTGCTCGCTGTACCAATTTGGTGGTACTCAAAGCTCTGCAGGTATGTTTGATTTGCGCCTTTGGCGAGGAGACTTGTAAACAATGGTGAGAAGAATCACTCAAGCAGGTATTTGATCATCTCAACTAAAATTGTAAGCCATAGGCCTTGAATTTAGTTTGAGATAACTTTACACAACTGCTTCTTGTCGTGGGCCACGTCAGTGTAGTAGTCAATCTTAGAGGGAATGAGAGCATTAGAGGGGATTAAACCCAACGGGTCAAGAGACTAGCATGATGACGGTAGTACGAAAATGACTTTAACAGTGATCTAGTAGTTTGGGCTCCTTGGCTTAAGCACTCTATTCCAGTCCTAGTAGCACAGCTGGAGCGGTGGATTTTGAAGGGCGCAAGTGTTACGAGCTAGCCAAAATAAAGTGGCAAGCACCACAGCCTCTGGCACCCCCACGAGTATCTTCTTAATTCAACTTTGATTTGAGGTGACAAAGGATCACCAAGGTTGTGATAAATAAGCTTAATAGCCTCCTGGTGTCTCCATCATCCACACCCGAACTGACACACGTGACAGCGTCTTTGTTGCAACTTCCCTGGGTAAGATAACAAATCAAAGTCTCAAAATCCTTTTTTAAGAAGAATTAGATTGTCAAAACAATGACGCTGATGCTCAACGAAGCTGGTAATTTGTCAGGACAACGTGCCACATCCACACGCTGTAGCAAGCAGATGGTGCAACAAGGATGAGAAGATGCAATCCCCCAAAGTGTGGCCCACCATTGATAAAGTATGTGCGGTTGTCCTTGATTCTGTCAGTCATCACTCAAAGAAAAGGGGACCCTAGCTGCACCACACCACATGCATCCAAGACCACCTTCTAGCCGTTCTATGCTGAAAATGCTGGGGAGTATCCCAAAAAGATGGTGAGTCCAATTCAGCGAGTATGAAACCCAACACTTCAGCGACACTGACAAGACGACCGCGTGCAAATGAGTGAATTATGTGCCGCTTTTCCCCCATTCCAACTATTGGTGGTCTTCCTCTCACACCACTGGTTTCTTCCGAAGCAGCTAATCAGACCCGACGCTATACACTTCCCACAAATCACATTCTATTAGCTAATGTGGATAGCGTCACCCAAAGATTTCAGCGCGTCTTTGCAACTTGCTTCAGTCTTAACCCTTCCAAACTGATTGCAAGCCAGATTCAACCCCCCGACACCAATAGACCTAAAGCCCCATTCTAAAAGGCGCCTCTAAAAGCTAGCAGAAAATGACTGTCACCTCAGTCGAACAGACCTGACAGGAAGTCGCAAAAACGGCAATGTTTATTCCCAAAAAAGTAAAATACAGCAGATATGGGAGAGCTCAACGAAACACACGAAATTTCCGTCGACTACTCGGCTGCTGCTAGAGGAAAAGAAAACAATGGAAAGCGGATTATACTTTTGAAAAAGAAATCCAGTGCTGTTGACCTCTGTCAGTTAGCAAGGGAATGGTGAAATAGTGGCAAGAATGAAGATCTAAGTGACTAAATGGTTCGCTAAATGGAAAGGCGAGGTTAGTAGCATATTGTGACAGACACAAGCACGCATGTCGTCTGAAATCGCATAACTTGAAGGTAAGAATAAGAAATGAAAACTCAATCACTTGTGTAAACTTGTGTGTCGAAAGAAAAGACTCACTCGTACTGCTTTAGAGGCTCCAAGAGTTCCGAGTACTTACTCATGGTCGTAAAAACTACCGAACCATCAGTACAGTGAAAAGTGGTGGAGTTCTTTCTCCACAAGAATTGTGAACGGAAAATTGGCGAATTTATGAAGAACTTAGCTCATTTAAAACAAAGTAAGAAGACGTCAAACGCACGGGATGCTCGGCTGCATGCCGCCCGAGGATGAGCTTGAGAACCTCCTGCTCCCGACGGCTGCTAGCGGCGAGAGCATTGGAGGCACTGGCAGAGGAGGAGGAATTGTTGCTGTGATAGTGTCCCTCCAGATTCGGTTCCTCTTCGACGCCGACATCAACAACCTCGGCACCTACGGAGGCTACGTGATCACTAGAGGACGGATGCCCTGTGTGCCAGGAGAGTGCTCGACGTGGGCGCAACTTCTGTTTGATCACCTGCAAAGGATAGTAGATTTTTCATATCATCAAATTCCAAACAAATAGGTAAAAATACTACCTACTAATCAACAGTAAGTGACAAGAATTAAAATAAGTCAATAAGGAATAATATTTCAGTTTTAATTCCCAAATTCACATTCTCTATTCTGTTTTCGCGTAGCAATATTGACTGTATAGTTATTACTCAACAAAATCATGCAAGTGTTGAATTACAACGGGCTGTCATTAACAATCACACGCTTTACTATGAGGCTACGTCGGAGAGTGTTCGAATCGCCAAAAGGTTGGTTGACCCAGTGATAACCAAATTTAACCCGGGGTCAGCGATGACTGAGATGATAATGCTAAGGCTACAAAGGAGTTATTTGTAGCGGGTGAAAAGATTAAGGCAGCTACCCAGGCGGGTTGAATGATTCCAAAGAGGAGGTTAAATTGGCGCTTTTACCGACATTGGCCCTTCTACTACTGTTGTAGTGCAAAAATACCCTCTGTCCTGCTTGCAACATGAATGAACAAAATATGTATCGAATAGACCGAATTTGATGTTTAATGCGTGAGAAAGGCTAAAACAGTTAAAACTCGCATAACTAAAAACGAAGGAAATTACGTGAGTGACTTTTTACGAGGCGCTCCTCAGAACCTGTTGATAAAGCATTCGGAAAAAGTCGAGAGCCATACGATAACGTTTAACAGATATTCTAAAGAAGTTCTGTGAGCATTGTAAAGTAGCATAAGAAAGAGGGTCACTTGATACAAAGGAATTCAAAATTACAGCAACTAAAACCCAGTGTCTAAAAACTGGTGACAAAAAATAGGAGAGACGAATTGACTTGCCTCCTTGATCAACTGACGCCGAATACGCATCTTCACTTCAAGGACAAAGTCGAGCCATGTCCAAAGACGATTATGATATTCCAACATTGGAATGTTTAATTCGAAATTGGTCACGTCTGCCAAATTCTTCTGTTTGTCACCCTGAACAATAGGGTAGAAGCAATAACTTCCCTTTAGATTGGTTCGTCGGCTTAGTCTTTCTCTCCATTGGCTAACCGGATTAACCAATAGGGTTATGAACACACAAGAGGCGAAGAAGGCTGTTTTCATTATCAGTACCAGCCACGATGCCGTTACCGTTATCATGCTTTCCGCATACTTTTAGAAAGCACCTTCGTCTTTTAATAGGAAGTGATACGACAAAATCAAGTTGTCTGCGTGGGAGATTAACCAATGGTGAAATTTAGTAATAGTGGTCAAACCATTTAACTTCATCCACATATCAAACGAGTATGGCTAATGTGAATTTTTGATCCTAGCACATATATACACCTCCATATACTTCTCACCCTAATACAGATCGTAGTACCACTTTGGACAAAAATGTAAAAGGACAGCAAACAAACCTTATAACTTAGTCGAATGGGAAAGCCAGGGATTTTGATGTAAAGAAAGACATGATTTCTACGGGCACGTTCCTGCAACGAAAAACATGGCAACACGAATTACGCATAAACAAATATGAGATAAAATCGATGGCCAAAAATTTACCCTCATCACATCGAGAGGAAGCAACGAAAGCTCAGGACCGATACTGGAACCCGCAGAGCCTCCACGTTCACTCCTTAGGAAAGAATATTCATGATGAAGGCTATTCCCAAAATATTCCAGGTAGCGAGTATGCAGAAATAGAAAAACGCACTGCTCTAAAGTCGGGTTAACTTCCGAAATACCCTCTTCAGGGACGTTTTCATCCACGGACACTTTAAATCGTTGTTGTGGTTGATGTTGATGATGATGCCCGGAATGTTTTCCCGAATGGCTCAAAAGGCGTCCACTCCAGGTCTTGGGATCCAGTCTAGAGATAATCCTGCCACCTTGCTTGTTGCGACGTTTAATCCGTGACTCTATGCCATCATGGAGGTCCTCCGACGATGCCGTAAAATCAATACTTACAGAGGTGGAGGGATCCAGAGCATCGGCATGTTCTACGGTGGAGGAGGAAGAGCCCTCCTCATTGGCGCGTTCGGGGAAGAAAAAAGGCATCAGCTGACTGTAGAATGTCTTGCTAATCTGCAGGAAACTGTGTTAGACTCATCATCATTGACAATGAATAAAAGAGTTAATTATTCTTTTCACCTGGAGAACAAGGGGAGCAACGCTAATTTCCATCACCTCCTTGACAGAGATGCCGCCAACCGGAGGCCGCTGTGTACAGGCAACACGAATCATCGGTCCACCGGTGTGGTGATAGCTGCTGCCGCAGTCTGGTAACAATACTTCCTGTGGAAATGGAATAGAATAGATAAAGATCACTGAAGAGAATGGCCAATACTGCGGAGTTATGCACTCTATACGTCTAATTGGAAGTCTATCAAATGCTGACCTTGTAAAAAGAGTTTGGAGCAAGGCTATGGACTCTCATTGACCCTAGCTGCAGCCAGTGGGAGCCCGAGTCATCACGTCGATGAGTGCGTGCGTAGAGAAAGCCGCGCAGTTCCACATCGGCAAGACCAATTTGTCCATCAGCTTCGGTCATGCGCCATCGAGCATGCTCAAAGCAGACCTCATCGCGTCGTACCACCTCCGCCTCTACCTCCGCTGCCGCTGCTTCAGGAGAGGGTTCCGTCCCACTACCACCGGCAACTCCACTACCACTCATCGAGACACACGCATCTGTCTTTACTTTCACGGTTGTTGGGAGTGTCGTGAAAGCAGACGAATTTAGTGGCGCTGCTGGGTTGGGTTTACCCTCTGAATTACTGGTATTGCCTAAAGAGAAGATAAGAAATGAAGAAATGCATGTGAAACCTATTGATCTTGATGAGAGGGACAGTGCACAGAGATGGGTTCAAGACAGTTCAAGGAGGAAACGGAGTGAAGCAGGCAGTACCCACCTACTAAGCCTGGACGGATCTCCCTTTGCCGACCTCCAGTGGTGTCGGAGCCAGCCACGTCAACGTTCTGTCCGCCCTGTAATCGCTGCGACTGGACGTGCACCTTCTGAAAGTGAGCTATGCTCTGAGATAGCAGCGAGTTCTTCTCCACAATACTTGCCTTCAGTTGCCCAATTCGCTCTTCAAAGGCCCTATAGTGGAAAGGGTCCAGCGAAATTACCGTCAGTGATCCAAAACGCCATCATCATTTGAGGTAAGTGATCAGCACAAATGAGATGGACGTACGGGTGAGTGCGGTATGGATGAATGGATATGAAATGGATGGTCAAGTGAAGAGGAAGAGCGCAACTCACAGAATTTGCTCCGCCTGCGCAGCAAGCGCAGGTGACATGTAAGACGAGGGAGAGTTTATGGCAGCAGAAGTGGAGGGAGATAAGCGCGACACTGGCAAAAAGAGCTGTTTGGTAGATGCGGCAGAGGAAGGAGCACCGGTTTGAGCGTCGCGGAGGGAGCGATCAAGGAGACGTAGCGCAGCCCACAACTCGCGCTCGTGCGCACGCTGGGTGTTTACAAGGCCACGCAACGCCTCTTGGTCGCGCAGGATGGCCTGTCGCAGCTCTCGCTCACCCAACAAACTTAGACCCACTCGGTTGCGCTCAAACCGCTCCTATCGAATGAGATATGAGTAAAAATACACTTAATTTAAAAATCCTCCTCGCGATTGACAAATCTGATGATGCTTAAGCATTACTGCCTTCTTTGGGCGATTTTAACAACCTATGAAAGGATTAGGATGTCTGAAACAGATGTTAGCAAGTAGGAAAACAATATGAAAGTCAAAATTACTCATACGTTGAACTGTCGGTTGGAAAGAGCTGAACTTCTCAATAGTGGTCTTACTGTTCACAATACTCCTACTCCAGACCTTGTAAGTCTTTTCTAAGTCGCATTAATTCCAATTTGAAAAAAAAAACAAAACTTCAAAATGGCGTATACAGCAAAAAGAATTTCATAAAGAACTGCCTTTTGTTGCGGTTCCACGTAGAGCAGGAGATTGTTGACAATGTCGAAGACCATACTGTATTGCAACTGAAGGAGAAGAAACGAAGGTGTCATTTTTCCGACCTAAAGGCATTCACACTTCCACGACATACCATACAACATCTGGTTGTTGTGCAAAGGAAGGAGCCATTGTTCAGAAGTAGTAAAAAGGGTGTACTTCTAGGCATTAAGTATTGGCAGATAGCAAACACCTCCGACATGGAGTCTTTATCGCCATTGTCATGATAAGGAATCGAGTCTACGGCAGCCAAAACGAACGAACTATTTCAAAGAACGGCTTGACAGATTCGACACATGCCACATTTTGAAGTGTGGAAGATTTTAAACACTTTTCATAATCTATCGCAATATATCCTCTGTGGCAGTACCCAGCAGCTTTTAATATAGCCTTCAGGATGGGAAACAGGATAAAGGTATAATTGCTCTCGCTTAATTCTAAGCAGATTTGAACACTTACCGAATTGGTGCAGAGCTCAAGAGTTCTATGAAGTAGTGTAAAGGTGTCAGCACCCTCCTGACTCTGAAGAACCTTCGAGTCATCCTCAGTTGAGGGCTATAGAACCAAGAAGCAACGCGACACCTTATAAGATATCAAAGTAGAAGCCAACATTATGAACGCAGTAAGTAGATCCTGGATAGTCCATGAAGCCAGATCAACTATAGCGTCACGAGAATCCAGTAGGAGCATAGTCAAACTTATTTTTGCAGTGAGAAGCTACGGTGCTTAAACCAGAGATCGAATTTATTAAAATAAAGTCTGGGTAGATTTGGCAGATTCGATTAATAGAAACCAAGAAGGCGGAAGTTATACTGGAGGTGAATGACGCGTATGTGAAGCAAACCAAGGTGCAGACCCATAGTGAGATAATACTACTTAAAATAGTGGAATGACGTGGGTAAATGAAAAAGAGACCAGACTTGTAAGAAGTAAGCACACATCCCCCACAAAAAGCTGATAAGATTATGGTGAGACCAAACCGATCAGATTCCTAGGCCAACTTTTAAATGGATCACAAATGTCTTATGAAAGCCAGAGGAACAGAAATGACAACTTACTCCAATGGACATCAACTTCGCAACATGAAACGCTCACCAATGGGGGGACGAAATGACCAGGAGGTAGGCTAGTCGGAACTAGGGGTGCGTAGGTGACGTAGACAAACTGACAGGCACACCGTGAGACCATACGCTGGAGTTGAATGGCAGTGGCAGAAGTGGGGGTGGTGACGGAGGGTACGGCACTGACAGTACCACCAACTGCATGACCGGATCCCACCACCTCAGGGCGACCAGAGAGAGCGTCCTGGCCAAAGTCCGCACCTAGGCGTAGCCAGTCGCGAACATCTGCGGGTGACAACCATTGGTCTGGTGTGGAAGCCTCAAGCTGTAACGGGAGAGAGAGGGCAAGTGTAGGTATGCTTAGTTCAAAGTTCAGATTTGTCGCAGCTCCATGCCATTTAAATAAGCGCATATTGAGAGTCGCCCTAATGCTGCTTATGTATTTGAAAATAAGGACAATAATAACCCTCCTCTAACATCTGACACAGTAGTGCCGCCTGCAAGCTACTAGTTATGGAAATGAGTAGCTTATTCGCACAGGCACTGCGCCTGCTGCAGATCAAGTACTGTTAGGACATTTCTACCCTCGCTATTATGAGCAGGCGTAGACAGCTTCCTGATAGTTAAATTCACTCTCCACTGCCATACCCTACAAATAAAGCCACATTTGCGCTACCTACAAATTCGCAGATAGATGATTTGAACTTAGATAGCGGAAAGTTCTCGCCAAAAAAGGGTAAATTTATTGATGCAGATCCAGAGCAAACTTCAAAACTGCATGCAAGAAGTCCCCTTACTTAGGCCATACAGCCCAACTAGACAGTGCCCAGGAGAAACAATACAACATGACTAGCTTACACCTCCACCACTGACGGTAGCGTAGTACTGCATACACTCCATCTGACCAATAAGACTGGACTTGGAGAGGAGACGAGCATCACGCCAGACAGGTGGATGTTCAACTGAGTCCAGTCGGGCCTTCGCTGCTGAGACGATTACGTAGCCCGCACAGTCGCTGGGTTTCAACATCACCTTAACAGAAGGGCGAAAAAAAGGCATAATCCTCATAAAATTGTTTTCCTTGAACAGCTTTTCGAAGCGATATGCCACCTTTTAAGCATCGGTGAAGAGGCGATAAAAAGCTTCTTCCTTTAGGAGGCAAAAGAAGAGTATGTTGCTAAGCTCGATTTCAAAATAACTGAACAAAGTCAGCGTCTGTCAGGGAAAGCACCTTTTTAGAGATCAAAGGAAAGATAATCAAGCTTTAAGAGCTGAAACACCAACGCACCTGGCAATTGCTGAGTTCAATGTGCCACTGACGCGAGAGTACGGGACTGGAGGTGCACAGCGAGAGGCCTTGAAGTTGATCTAGCACATCTGGTTGTTTAGGCTCCTAGTGGATTGGTGTAAGAAAATGTATGCTTCTATGTGAGGAAGCAGAAGTGGTCTAGGCAAATCTAAGTTTGTTGGAAGAAACAGCACGCTGATAATGAAAATTTCACAGATCTGTTTGACTTCGTGAATGTTAATTTCTCATAACGGTATTTTATACTCTTATATCTCCCATGGTTACTAATAGTGCTACACTGGTGACTGATTTATAAACGCCCTAGGCAAGCTGAAATGGAGGAGGAAAAAGGGCCAGTTGAAGTTCAGTCACTCGATGTCGTACCTTAAAACAACATCTCAAGCGGATTTTTGGGAAAAATAGATGATCCTAAGAATAAAGTCGCCAGTATCGCACAAATAAATTAGCCGATTTCCATGCTGCTAGCGAGTAAAGAAGTTGCACAAGCGCAAATTACAACCCAAAAGGAAACTGCAATAATAAAAGCAAAAACAGCAACTTTCACCTTAGCACAACGGTGAAGTTATTTTAAAGGGACGAATTCAGGCGCCCTACTTACTTCTTCGCAATAGGCGTAAAACTTTGCCGTCTCTGCCTCTTTCACCAATTTAGCCAGCATCGGCACCTCTGACCAGGTGTCAGATCCCGTTGTATTCATGCACGATGACGTGGGGGAATGCTCATTCGCCTTCCCCTCCTCCGTCAAAGTGCCCGCGTCAACACACGTTGAAGACTTTGAAGGTTCCGCGTCGTTGTCACGGGAGGACATCGATGCGCCATCGCCTTCGTTACGAGATCGCAGCGAGTTCAATGGTGGAACACTGAATGCGATTTCATAAAATCGTTTTTACCAAAAGTTTACGAGTGAGTGGAGTGTCATAATTATTGCCAACCCACGTGGGACCATTTGTGATGTCAAGAGAAATACCCTTTAATGCTTGCGCCGAGAGATTCTTTTTGAGCGTTTGTGCGTGGTTGTACATGTTCATCATGGTGTACACAAGATTACGATTAGTCTCATTCCATCGCATCTTGGGGTTCTCCACCACCACCCGATGGACAGGTTCCAGCTGCGTGAAGAAAAAGTGATTTCATAAATAAGACAATGTAAGATGTTACTGCCAAACAAGCTTACATCCTCATGCGATAGCTGGATTTTCGGAGTATGCCGACGTTCGAGGGAAGCCGAAGACGAGTCTTCATTTACAAAGCTTCTTGCGTCCGCAGATTCTACAGGTCCAGTGTCGTCACTACATTCTTCGTTAAAACCTTCCAGACCGGGAATTTGAACTCTCACGGGTTGGGCTGGTAAGTCGAATTGGCTCTTGAGCTCTCGTTCAAAATGAATGGATGAGAAGATAAGCAACTCAGAATTGGGTGGAAATGAAGAGAGAAGACCATCCTGGTCGGTTGAGCTCTGTGAGGGATTAAAATTAGATAGTCAAAAAGGGCCGAGAATGCTAGATTTCGTCGAAAATGTTAGTAGTATTGAACGTTCAAGTCATTTGAATCCTTCAAGCCTCCTTCTGCAAGGCTGTTTCCTTGCGCAAAGCAATTGAGGTTTTGAATTGGCTCACAACAGGGCAAAACAAATGTCACAAATAAGTTTCAATAAGAAGGAAGTGCGTAGAGCACAAAACAACACGCAGGATCAAAGCTCTCTTCATAAAGGCTAAAAAATTTTGAATTGTACCTTTCAGTAAATAACACTGCACTTCAATGCTGCCCCTGTAATCAAGACAGAACACTTCAAAGAATTGGCTTAGCGGCACACCTAGAGAACGAGATTAAATTTATGCTCCAACTTGGACATCTTGGTAGTTAGCAAAATTACTTGACTGTTAGCTCAAGTTACCATGCCTAAGACAAGTACACCTTGCTGCAAGGGCTGCAAACGTATGAAGCTTGCAACATAGACTGTGCATAAACTACTTGAAAACGTGTACTACACCACCAATGTGGCTTCAAATGGTAAGAGAGATAGTCCACTTCTCACCCCGTCAGCACGCGATATTAAATGCAACGCCGTTCGATCCGGGCGGTCCAGGAGCCACGCACGACAGTTAAGAAGCCTTGCATCGACCCTCTGAAGACTCCATTGTGGTGCAATACGTCTCTGTGGGTTTCGAGGAGGTAAAACAAAGACTACGGCACCCGTTGATGTTCTTGCCTCCCTCTCACCCTCCACGTGAACACCGAAGGTGGCGTGGAGGTCCAACGGACCACTACATGCGTGAACCCCGAGGCGTTTGTTGTAGGAGACCCAGTAAGTTACCTCCAGGCATGGCATTTGAACTGAAACCGCGAGCGACCTACAAATAAAAAGCAATGCAGTAATCGTAGGCGACTTATCAAAGTTGGCCACGTAAGCAGGAGGGGAAGAGGACGAAGTATTGTCAGCATTTATAGGGTAAATCTCACTGAAGCAGTTGCCCAAAGAGAGGCTTTCGTGGACGAATACGATTGAAGATGGCCCCGCGACGGATTGGACGCGAGATGCGGGAGAGACACATTTTGAGACGATCAAATAGCTTCAGCAGGTTGGTATAGATGAAACATCGTGGAGGTTGAGTATTCGAGACATCAGCAACACTAAAGACAAGACCCAACAGAAGGCGATTTCCACGAAAATTTGCGTAGGAATCGTGGGTCTAGGGAAAAATAAAATCCCTTCAAATTATCAGCAGTTCGTAGCAGGATAGTAAGGTAACTTGATTTTGCTGTGGAACCATGACGCAGTGTCCAGCACTTTAAGGCTTGCAAAAACAGACCACACAAAAGCAATGTTTATGCATGCAATCGAGCTGCTTAATGCAGACAGTGGGTGGAACGTTGGCGTTCCTAATGAAACGCTTCGAGTGCCTGACTCGGTATGACGAGAAATTCACAGGACTCTTTTCAGTTATGCTCGCTAGCTGCGCTACACTAATGTAACGTTACGCTTTTCCTGAAAGCTTGCCACTTGGGTCAGCGTCATCCAACGTTTGTAGCGGTGCAGCATGAAGCGGTAACATTGACCTTTAGAATTTGATCCCATTCATGCACTATTCATTGCTTAAACAATGATGCGTTGCCATGGTTACGCTTTGAGGAAACCCGAATTCGGTGCGATTATACCTCCAATGAACTGCATTCAAGCACGCAGTGAGATTAAAAAGGCTATCAATTATTAACAGTAATTAAATATTCAGTAAATATTTACGTCCCTCTCGATCATTAAATCATAGCTTCGTCCTCCCGTTTTCCAAACACATAAGTGTTCCTCGAAACATATTTTTGCAACACAAAGCATTCACTTACTTTGCCAAATCAAAGACCTTTTGAAAATGTCTGAAGATTCAAGGCAGACTAATGTAAAGCATGGTAACAAAGATGGTGTATGAGGAGTTAATTTTAACCAAGGTACTACCGAAAAAAGGCATCAATTGGAGGTAAATATGCTGCTCACAAGTTCATCAGCGCCCAATCGTTCACCGTTGACTACTTTAACCGAATGGTGGTCGAATTGATTGCCGAAGGAGAGCCAATCCATTGAAGCCCTTCAAAGGAGACAGAATATTTAACAAATGGGACGAACTTTAAGTCGTAGTTCACAACTTATTAAAAGAGATTATCGCTCATAAAAGCAACTGGAATAAAAGAAGTGGAATAGCACCGACTGCATCTATCGAGAAATCTTCTGCACAATCTTCTGAGATTGTGCAGGGAATGTCAGAAATGGGAGGTTGATAACAACAAAATTGTTTGGTTTCTTACTCGAAATTGAGATTAGGTATCTGCAGGACGTGACACACTCCATCATACTTCGAGGTTGTTTGGAAAAACAAATCCAGGTCGCCATTGACAAAGATGTGACCTAGTACGAAGAGATGGGAAGGTTATGGAAAGTCTTGAAGTTCTTCAAGTAACATAAATTTACCTCAATCATTTAAGGGTACTGATGCAAATCCCTAAACTGTAGGACTAACTGACCGGGAATCCAGTCGAATGTGCAAGCGGTCCACTGGAAGGTGAGAAACTCGTGGGCGTTATAGGGATCTAGGCTAGTCGAATAGAGCCAAGAGAAGCGCGTGCACGTGAAGCCGAGGCGGCCATGATAGATGAGTCGGACCCGGTCCCACCACCCCAGTGGCGGAGTTGAGGGGTCCACTGAGGCCCTTCGGATGTCGTCCAGACGCAGGTTTAACCACGCAAGAGTAGGCTCCCAATTAGAGCCATAGCACAGGGACATTTCTTTTACATCTGATGGTGGTGTCGAAAACACAAACTCAAAGTTAAACCAGTTCGAAGTTGTGGAAGATGATTAAAGTGACTCAGTAAGTGTTAGTGGGAGGAATTTAAGGCCAATGAAAAGGTAAATGAGTTTATTGAGGAAGAACCGAAGCATAATGACCGGATGTCATCCCAGTTATCTCAAAGTGAATGAATCTATGGATTAAAAGCGGATAGAAGGAGAGGTTTGAAGTAGGTGGAAGACCTAAGTAGCAGAAGATGGATCAAGTGAATGGATGAATCAACAACCACGAGATGGAACTAAAGCTTATTTGTTCACCTAGCTGCAGATACAAATACAAAACAGCACTCCCAAATTGTTTCATGTTTAGAAGAAGACATACCAGCAAACAATTCGTAGAAAAATTTCGTTGGTGAGACATAGCGCACAACGTTGATGCTGGAAGGTTGCCAGGGTGAGCCTAGATCCACCTTACAGTCGCGTTGGCTCCGAGGGTCCATCGAGCGTTGAGTTGCAACCGCAACAGATCCTGTCAAGGTAACCTCAGTGGCGTCCACTAGGGCCTTAGAGTAGTCTCGCAGTTGCCATTGGAAATGGCCCACCGCGACATGCACACGGCGGCAGCAGAGTTGATTGAAGTCGGATGGTTGTAGGTTGTTCCAAGGACTGAAGATGTATAAAGGAAAGTTTAGCAATTTGTACTCCTGAACTAGAGCTTTCCATACTTTCTAATGACGTGTCAATCCAATGTCAGTGGCATGCCATCTTAGCGTCACTTTAAGTAAGTAGATGAACAGACAGGGACTAGCTAAGTTTTTCGATGAGTAGTATAAGGGTAGTAGGAATTATCAAGAAATACATGAAATTTCCACTTCTTTGAATTCATTAGCATTAAATCGAGCGCTACCAAGTGCTAAACTTGGCATTAGCTGTCCATCAAATAAGAGTAAAATTATTACCTGACGTCGTCAAGCCTTTGAATCTCCTCAATCACTTTGTGTGGTGATATGCAGGCACCATCAGCAAGGATGTTCAAGCATGCATCCTCCATGCTCCATGTGAAGAGATCGTCAGCCATCGTATAGCCCGAATAGAAGCGTCGAATACGCGCAATGTATTCAGTAGCACGTTGAAATTCCAACTGCTCCAGACAGGCCTGTAGCTCTGCCGCCGCTGCTGCTGCCGATGGGGACTGCGATGCACAACGGGGCCGACGACTTCGATCCAGCTGGGAGGTCAGTGCTGCAACACGTTTCTGTTGTTCAACGCTCTCGTCCATTAGAACCTGGAAATGCAAAGTAGTGTGCGAGCAGGACCCTTAACAGTAGCATGATACAGACAATCTTTGTGAGTCTTCAGCTCGAACGCCCCTCTTTGAGTCTAATATAAACTATGAGACACTTCCAATGCTGACCTCGAGATTTAAGTAAGCAGAAGTCGCTCGGAATTCGCTTAAATCACTTCAGCACTTTTCAAGGTGCGAGAGATCCATATTAGAGAGGGATGAGGACATAAAAACAAGGCAGTTCCTACACAACTCACCATGAAATCATCGCTGAGTTTGCATTCAAATGGATCGTCCTTGATTTCCAGAGTGAATTTCTAGACAATAAAAAAAATTATTGAGCACATAACCGGTTGGCACATCATCGAAAGAGCTGCATTTGTGAATTTACGAAAGACGATGTCCTCCATGTTTAACCGTTGGGTCCAATGCTCTTGATTTGTGAAATCCTCTGAAAGGAGACTTTACGCCTTCAACACTGCATCAAAGGCACGTTTGGGCTAAGCTAAATTGGATGAGATTAGGGTCAGTCACAGTTCTATTGCAAAACAAATAGACAGTTGGGCATTTGGCTAGTTGTTGAAACCTAAGCCAGTGGATCCAAAAGGAACTTAGATGACGATGTTTGTTCGTCTATAGTCATTGCCTACAGAAACACCATGATTGGAGGAAAAACGTAAAAGGTAAGTCACGCACCCCCTTCTCCCAACCTTGTGCCCCTAAAGTGGGGACTCAGCATCCCAAAAGGTTGAAAAAATTCACACTTAGATTGGAATCGAGGTGTCAAGAAAAAACATCTTGCAGGATCGGGAAAGAGAAGGACAGGTGTTGAGTGATATCAGAAGGGAGAAATTTTTCATTCCATAAAATTTCTTAATATAAGCCAAACACTCGGCGTCTGTTGACTTAGGAAGGAGTTTTAGTTAGGCAGAAAAGCAAACTTAAAAGGTGATTAATGCATTTTCTACCTTGACGCGGATCACTAGATCGCAGGGAAGCCGTGGGGAAGGCGGAATCTTTGGAGGCGCTGCCGTCTCTGTTTCATCCTCCATAGCTTTCACCTCAGCAAAGAATGGCGACTGGGCAGACTCCGAGTAGTTGATGGCTCGTCTAACGTTGAGAAACTGTTATGTAGAGGTAAAAGGACCATTAAAATTCAATACAAGCATAGATCCAAGAAAATAAGTCTCAATGATGGCGTGTGCATGGTTGTAAGTATTACAGAGAAGGGATTCCATTCATGAGTAAAAGTATTCCGAAGAACAGTTCAAGGGTAGTAAGTGTAGTGAGCGAATGGTGGACGAGTAAATGGCAACAAAGCTGACTATGTTGAGGTATGCAGTATCGTGGTTCACTCAATCACCTAGCTTAACGCGATTGCTTCTGCCTCTCCGCGTATTGGTGGCGGAAGGAGCAACTACGCTGGCCCCTTTAGCGAATGGTGAAAACAGCACACAACTCCTATGTTCGGCCAATACTTTGGATACTTTCAGGCATAGCAAGAAGGTAAATGTAGGTTTCAAAAGACTAAAAGGATCATTCGGCAGGATCACACCACCTTTTCCAGCTCTAGACAACAGCGAAATCCAGAGGTACCACGATAAATGGTTGCATCCATCATCCTTTTTACTTGGCAAGCCAAATAACTGTGGGATGCAATTCGGGAGTTGCCAATACTCAAGCTGACGAGAACTACACAAATTCATGGGAACAGGCGCATCATAACATTGCAAACTCGTCCTTGTTATGAGTATTAGACATTTTTCCCCTCAGAAATGGCCACAAGTGGGCGACGGGGAATAATTCAGGTCGCACTACCGCGCTGTCATTAATCTTATGAAATAGACTGCAATTCAACTGGTTGAACTGTCATTATCCAGGAGCCTAAATCTTTCTGTGCCTACTTTGTCGTTTGAGGCTAAACTATCCCGATTGAGACAGATTGCTTGATCCAAACTGTTAAAAGGTCGACCTTGCATTTGTGACATTCATGCGTTCCCAAGTCAGTGAACAGAAACAATAAGGAGTATCAAAGAAGATAACTCTTCTACAGATCCAGACATTTGCAAGGGTTGGTTTGACACCGAGAGAGCAATGAGGCAGAGAGAAATCGGGACCGATTTAAACGCTCGAATCACAACATGCTCCCATATGCACGTCCTCATGGCCAAGACTGGAGTGACTTGACTGAACTTTTAACTCACCTCGTCAAAACAGGTGAAGAAGTTGTAATTGAAGGGGAAGGTGAAGCGCATGCTTTCAGTTTGAAGCTCTCTATAAAAAGAGAATAGAAAATAGGCATAAGTATAAGTACCCTTGCATCTTTAGAACAACGGTTTAATAATTCCCTTCTTCAATGCAGGCACAAATGAAAAGGACTGGCCTTAACATTTCCTTTTTGATTTAAAGAGGACGAGTAAACAAAGGACGTGAAATCTGTAAAGATGTCACAATGCTGCATGGTAATTCGTGTTATCAAGGAGTTACTCGTTCCCTTCGTTGCGATCACACTGCACAACCCCCTGGAACAACTTGCATACACCAAAGAGGGGCCCATTCTCCTCGGCTCCTTCTCCAAATTTCACTATTGCATAAGTGATGTACTACAAAGGCCTGTTATTTGAGCTGACGCCTTTCAAGGGCGAGGTGTTTGCATGAGTCTATTGGAGGGAGAAAATTGACCGTCGCAATCACGAGGATGCCTGACTGTCTCTAAATCCAACCAAACTTGCTGACTAGTGTTGCTCGTTGGTTAGTCTGCACCTTCTCCAGCGGTTAAAGCTCAACCAATTTGCTTAAAAGACTCAATTAGATGCGATCGGTGGAGGCAAATGAAATAGGGTGCAGTAATGGTCAGAAAAATTGGAACGTCAAATGTGTTACATTAAGGAGTCAGTGTGGTTTGCTTGTCGATGCGCAAATAATCGGGATGACCAAGCAAAACTGTTCATTTGGGGTCGTGGTAGGCCTCCAGAAAAGTCATCTGCCTATTCATTTAAAGTCATTTCGAATGGATGTGTTCTCGCGACTAACTGAGTTAGCATTTCGACTAGAGGAATTGCCAATCCTGCCTGGAGAGAGAAGAGCGGCTGATTTTAACTTTGCAATACGAAAAGTCCTTAGAGGAGACTCCACATCATGCATGCCACTACTCCCACTAACAGAATTGGCTTGTACTGGTGGTGCACCCGATTACCAGTACCCGCAATTAGTCAAGTGGCTTTGAGAAGTTTCAAAATTATCAAAAATGTCTCACAAAATCTCGACTGCTCAACCAGAACCCCTCCATTAGTGTGGCGTCCCACAATGTTAGATTGATTCAACAATCTCAACACCATTCGAGTCAAAGTGTCTATCGGCATTGATTACTTGTAACATTTTCGAAAGGAACCAACCGCAAAATTCCAGGAACAGCCCACCAAGGTGCCAACAATCAACTCAATTTTGTCCCATGAGTACGCATAACGGTTCAACCAAACTTCAAAAAAATAAGAGGCTGTAAAAAATGCAGTTCTCGTTTCAACACGCTCAAGGTGGCATGTGCGCGAGGAGCCAACTATCGTACCCGGGCTAGGCGTCACATGCATTTGTGTTAGGTGGCCTTCACCACTAGCTGGACCAAATCCTACGTCAAAAACACGCAAGTGGATCCGCAAGTATCAAACGGATTCTGGATGCCCCACATCCAAGGTTTTCTACTAGCAAATGGATTGAACACAGACATACATAGGACATGCCTCTGAAATCCTACAAGAACCGAATGACGCCACTGTTCCAAAGTGAGTAGAAAATGGAATCAACAAATTAGAACAACCATAATGTATATTTATAAGAAGATAAACTCATCAACCATCTTCTAAAGCAGTTTGCAAACAAACAAGGAACTTCGCTTCGAAGTTCCACTAGAAGTTACCCAAGCCTTCAACGACAGCTTTCACGTCCTCACTCAGTTTTCCTGATTTGTCAGCTCTGCCTGGTATGCCAGTAGCAAGTGGGGTACTAAAGTTAACCAAAATAGCATCCATGGGTTGGAATATAAGCACCATATGTCTGCAGAAGTCACTCTGTGGGTAGGTACACGCTCATCCTTCCAGGTGGTGTACAGGGCGTAATCCGAAACGGACAAACAGACTAATCCGATAAGTTCACGTCTTTTACCACCAAAAAATGCAAACCTGTTTTGGAAACAAAATTACTATTACAACCCAGCGTTTCATTTCCGCATTACGTGTCTTTGTTGCTCAGAGCAACCTACCTCACCTTGACTACCGTCGTTTCTGTCTCCCATCTGATCATTTCAGGCGTGTTCATATGGCTTAGGGTCTGATGCCACAAAAGGACCTCATAAACATCACTGCAGAAACCCTGTAATCGAGGGGGACAGTACCCCTCATTTCGAAGTGGTGAGGAGCGCATGAAGTCTTGGATTTGCAAAATAATCAATCCTGTTTATTTAGAGATTACAGCGTCACGGCAACCAAACTCAGTCGTCTGGGCATGCATTAATGCGTGATTAAAGGGAGCAAATTGGTCTAGGGAAAGGTAGTTTGGGTTAGTTAATCACCTACATGCTCAGATGACGTTCCAACACGCATCTCATTTTTTATTATATGTTTGGAAGTCACTCACACGCCCATTAGGCAAATGAGTTAACACTCACAGTAAGTCCGTATGGCAATATGAGCACAATAAAACGATAGATCCTTAAACCGCTTTCATATGGTGTGCTGACGCAAGTGCCTGTACGTCATTCGTTTAGGCATTCTCACGACTTTTTTCAGTTAAGCTCCTTTTTAATCCACCCGTGTCAGCAATATCATTAACCAATCACTTGAAGTTATCCAATGAGAAGGGAGAGACCGTCCTCTTAATCTATTTACCATCATAGAATAGACCAATCGGTGTCGCATCCATCACACTCAAGCATTGCCATGGGGTATAATGAGGCACAGAAACATCTGCACTTGGCAAGGCATCGCAGGAAGGACTATAATGATGACATTCCGACCGATTTGTGACCCCACCGAATATGAAAATCAACTCATTAATCTCATTTTGATCACTCGAGACCAATGGTAAATTTGCTCACCGAAGCCTCTAGCAACTCCATGAAAAATCTCAAAATATAAAAAAACTCGTCCAAAGAGACACCAGTTCCTAAATCCACTTTATTGTCTTGATGGAGGAAACAGAAAAGACAGTCGAAAAGGACGAACTTTCATCGAACGCATCGGACTTTGTGAGGTAGATGATTTTCCTACTTTCTATTTAAAAAATTTTGCACAAATCGCCTAATTTGGCATCGTGTGTTTTCACAGGGTCCGGTAATATAATCGTGATAAGGTTACCTCATGCTTGAAATGACGCCTCAGTAACAGACATGCATGCATGCACGCACGATCCGCTATGAGGCTGCATCACATCAGCGAGGGGATGCCTCAAAAAAGATGATTCTGGATTACTTACGCTGATGCACTAAGTTCTTCATCAGCATCACAAAGTAAAGTGAATTAGCAATCGTGCTGTAAACCGTTGTAATCTAGCCTTTCACGCGTTAGAGTCGAGAGTTCTTCCGTCCGTCTAGTCTGGAGTCCACCCGGGAACTTAATCGACCAGATAGTCACTAAACAAACACTCCGAAAGTCTGTCATCTCGACCGATGCATGGAAGAAGTCACAGTGAGTATAGAGGTAGGAGGCGATCTGCTGCCAAATGAAAAGTGCTGAAGACAGGGTCCGCATTACTTAGACGTTACAGCCGTGTACAATCGTGGTCACTGATTGTTCTTGGCCTTAAAGTGAGTAATGGCATACAGCATACCCACAAATAGTCCACAGTTCCAATTTTTAACTGAAAGCTATGCACATGAACTCTCCAGGTCGCTATCATTAATACTGAAAGGTCATTGACGTAGTAGACAACCACCATCTGACCTCAAATAGAACACAAAAATGAAGCTAAAATCTCCAAGTTGCCAGCCGAGGCTACCATTGCTTTCGCTGATCGCACGCATGACAAGCAGACAATGCACGACGTCACTTTCAAGCAGTTCAGTCGTTGGAACTTCTGGAGGACAACTTACGGCAAAAGCAACACAAAGTGACAATCTCAACTTAGGGGAATGATAATACACACAATCGAGACAACTGTTCCACTACATAGACAGCGTTGACACATATGTCAAGGATTTAAATTCATTTTAGCCCAAGATAGAAGACAACAGCAGATATGTGGCATGGCGAAGCTCCTTATAACGAAAAGCATGATCTTGAAAGCATATTGTGCAGAAGGCGCCTAACCATTCAATAGGAAGTGAATGAACTAATTGGCTCGGATAGCGATCCTGTGAACGTTCCATCACCGTGCGAACGCCTGGTCAACACAGTCCGCCCAGGTGAAATGTCACAAAGGGTGAGCTATTTTATCATATCAGTAAACAGAGCATAGCAAAACACAATAAGACACAACTGATTGGAAGCATTTGCAACTCGAAAAAAATCTAGCGCACTCTAGTCACCCTAGGACGTTTCATACACACGCATAAATCTTTCCGAGGCAAAAAGTCGTGGATTCTAAACAAATGCCAAGAGTGTGCAAACCTAACAAAGTGGTGCATAGAAAAGCAAATGTATTTTCCACTTCGTATTCCCAAACAGCACAGTTTGACATGAAACAGTGTGGTCAATAGAATTAGAACTTCCTGTTGACGCAGAGACGAAGTCAAAGGAAATGCAACTAAGGCACCATCGTAATAGAAGGCATTGTCTAGTTTTTTCTCTGGAGAAAAAAAATGATTAAACAGTGCTTACAGGCAGGTGTTCTCCTGCGTGGTAAGTCGAAAGGCGACCTTCCGATGCGCACCAGAGAGTGGAAGCCTTCGAAGCACGAGATTCTATTGAAGGAAAAAACATAAGGGAAAAAATGATGGATTGTCTTCCACACTTAAATCTCAAAGAAGCAATAAAAAGTTGGCGTGATATGCATCTAATTGCAACCCAAAAATAAACCACCAAAGCGAAGTGAAAACGACTCTCGTGTTACCTGGACTTAAAATAACATTCTGACCCTTTGGAAGCTCCTATGCTTGAATATTGGAATCTCCCTTTAATGCATTTGGAAATGGCTTTATTGTTTCAGTGAAATAAGGCTTTTAGGTTAGGCAGGACCACTAACTATGCACTGCTCGAGTTCATGCAGCCGCGACATTGAAAAGTCAAATTTTGAAGTCATGAGTATGCAAAGAAGGATGTTGCGAACAGCACAGACGGGGTGGAGGCTTTAAAAGGCGAGAGTTAGCCTAGTTAGTAGCATGCCCGCAAAGC